GTGATTATTCCATATTAGGACTTAAAACCCACTGAGGCTATTCTCTCTAATAAGCAAACACATGCTAAAATAAGTTTATTTCAGATAGTGACCAGCCTTTTTCATTAACATCCCAGAGTATTTCATTTCCACCTGACCCTCGCAGCAGCCTCTCTGAGCAGCCATAGTGTTGGGAAAATATAGGAAAATGGTCAGGGCCCCTCAGATGTTCAGAATCTTGCTGAGCATTTGATGTAAATATGCACGTGCACCCAGGTGTTCCTTGGTTATTGTCTAATGTAATTGCGCATGTGCACCCAGGTGTCCTGGGTTATGGACTTAAGTATAAAGGACGAGTGGGGAGTGATCCACAGGGCCCTCCCCAACCCCGGGATGCCCCCCGGGGGGGCACGGGTAGGCTGCTACCACTGCTGGAGGCTGTTGCTGCCAGGGCACCCGGGACCCTGTGAGAGGCTGCCACCGCCAGACCTGTAAGCTGCTGCTGCCGTTGCTGAGGACTGAGCTCGTGTCGTCTGCCAATGGCTCCCAGGATCTTTCCCAATTACCTAGTGTGGACCTGTGTGTGAGGGGTCTGGTGACCCAGCCTGGCATGTGAGTGGTCTGGTGGTGACCCAGTCTGTACAATGGGTTTAAAGAGTCTGAGCCCTAGCCCTGACAATACAAGTAGAAACTTAGTATAACTAAAATAATGAAACATTTTGGCTTTAGTTATGATTTGCCTTGCTCGACAATTGGCGTAGTTGTGTAGCTTTACACGTAGCCCCATGTCACAGAGGAAAAAGCTCAGGCCCACTGAGCTGGTGTCACTGACCCAGGTGACCACGCTACCAAGGGTAGGGCCAGGATTCACGTCCAGATCTTCCTCTTCCAGATACTGTTTTTGTTTTCACTTCCCATGTAGGTGGACCTTTGGAAGAACTCTGCCCTAAAATGCCATTTGCAGGCCACTTCTTGGAACATGGAACTTTTCTCTTTGGAGAAAGAGGCAAAGTTTCCCAGGTTACCCCAGGATGACCATTCCAACTGTAACACGGCAGGACCGCAGTCCTATAGCTTTAAGTGAGTTTTGAGGCTGGGGGCTGTGAGAAGCAGAGAGGAATAGGTGAAAAATAACTTTCTTGCCTGCGCATGGCCCTAGATGGAATTCCCAGGTGGCCAGTGATGCCCGTGCCGTCTTCTGTCCTCTTGGCATCCTGCTGCCCATCGCTGGCCATTCGGGCCCTTGAGCTTGCCCCAGCCCCTCCTGTAAAACTCAGCATAGGGAGCTTTTGTGTGGAGGGAGCCTGCCTGCGGTAGCCTCTGGTGTCAGGGTCTGTCGCAAAAGCAGGGCGAGGAGAGAGGCGCCTGCTGGGCTGTGCTCTTGCCCCAGACTCACTCACGTGTTCCTTTCTGTCTCCAACTTGCCTGAACTTCCTGGCTGGGAACTTCCAGCTCTCCAGCTTCTCTTGCTGGTTTTCTCTTCGGGCCTTTGGGAGACCAGGCCTGCTGGGCTGTGCTCTTGCCCCAGACTCACTCACGTGTTCCTTTCTGTCTCCAACTTGCCTGAACTTCCTGGTTGGGAACTTCCAGCTCTCCAGCTTCTCTTGCTGGTTTTCTCTTCGGGCCTTTGGGAGACCAGGCAGAGCAGAGAGGGATGATAGGAGCACTGAGTCACTGGGCTCAATCTGAGGGGCCGGCAGGTACTCTTCACGGGTAAGAACTCTGCAGCAGCGTTCCTGGGTGGGACCCTGTGCTGCCGTGCCAGGTGGTCTCTTGGCTGACGCTTGATGTTCGGAGAATAGCTACGACCTAGAAATCCGGCCGGTGAATGAATACTGTTTAACCGAGGGGCCGGCAGGTGCTCTTCACGGGTAAGAACTCTGCAGCAGCGTTCCTGGGTGGGACCCTGTGCTGCCGTGCCAGGTGGTCTCTTGGCTGATGCTTGATGTTCGGAGAATAGCTACGACCTAGAAATCCGGCCGGTGAATGAATACTGTTTAACCCAGATGCCTCTTTCCAGGTTTCTGCACCCCGAGTTGGGCAGCTGTGATCGCAAGGGTGCCCTGAGGTACAGTGTGGCGTAGTGACCGCTTTGCTGTTTAGTCAGACGGCCTGGAAGAGCTGGCTGTGCTAGGAGCTGTGTGCTGCCGCAGCTCACTGACAGCACCTCCCCACGTGGAGCGGCCCCCGCGTCCTCTCCTTTACACACATGTCTCCATGGGGCACGTGTGTGGTCTCGTTCCTGACCTCAGTGTCCGCTTGCTATTCCCCTGCAGCCAGGCCCAGCTGAGTGAGGGTGCTGAAGACAGACCCCTCCCGAGGGTGGTCAGTCGGAGAGTGGGGGGCTTTCCTGTCTGTGGAAGGATTGCTGAGGTCTCCTCTGTGTGCCCTGCCCTGCTGCTGGGGAGCCTCGTGAATGCCTCTTCTCTTTCCAGGGTGGACTGGAATACCCTGATCCCTTCGTGGCTACGACATCGGCAGTTAGGGCTGCAGGCCAAAGGGCAAAACTTCATGCTGGAGGACTCCACCTTCCTGATCTTAGGGGGCTCCATGCACTATTTTCGGGTGCCCAGGGAGTACTGGAGGGACCGCTTGCTCAAGATGAAGGCCTGTGGCTTGAACACCCTCACCACGTGAGTGCCTGCCCCTGTCGCTCACACCAAGCTTGGCTGCCAAGTGGGACTCCTGGGGGCTGCTTGAGGAAAGACATGACAGGAGGAATCAGCCCAAGCCCTCTGCTTAGGTCTGAAGGGTGAGCGTCTCCCTTCCTGCTGATCCCTACAGAACTCCCTGTTAATGGGCATGAAAAGATGTGAAACGGATATGAGGTCTAGAGGAACCCAAGTAGCAATGTCCTAGCAAAGAATACAGTGGAGGAGGTGAGTGTAGACGTGGGAAGCGATTCAGTGATGGCAAATGATTTTTTTTAATGAGCCATCTCCCTGCCCCCAGTTTATACATCAGATGAGTGCAGTCTTCCGTGAAGTAGCTGCCCGAGAAGCCCTCTGCCAGCAGTTCTGAGCACTCCTGCTGGAATGACCTTCAGAATGCTGTGGCTGTCATCCCAGCACCTAGTGTGGTGACTGGCACTTGTAGGCATGCAGTAAAATGTTGAATGGTGAATTGTCTTAAAATTATGCTCAGTTGTGAATAATCTTGATCTTTTGTGGGTTTTTTTTTTTCAAAATTGCCAACAGACACTTGTTTTTAAGTCTATGAAGTAAAGTAGGTTATTAGGCTGGATTATTCCATTTTCAGGCAGAAATATGAGATTACAAATCAAGGAGATGGATTTTCTTGGGTGGTTTATGAACTGATTTTGAAGACGGTTCCTAAAAGAGTTACAGGAATGTTCTGAACTATGACAGCATTATTGAAACAAATGTGTGTAGTTTCCTTAGAAAGGATGCCTGAAGGCTGTAGGAATACTGCAGGGTGAGCATTCTGCCTTACAAGCAGGGTAATCTATATTTGCTTAGACATTGAACTCTGGAGTCTGAATTGGAAGCCAGAAAGCTCCCTCCCTTCACCTGTGATATTCATTGCAGTAGGAGAGGGCTCTGCTAGCATTGGTACTGGGTGGGAGCTGGGGACAGGAGCAGCCATCGTCACTGTTATCACACCTGTGTCCTACCTCTGCCTCTTGAGTGGGCCCCATCAAGGGCTTACTTCATTTCCTTAGCATCCCTGTAGAGTTAGGGCCTCCATTCTGTTGCAAGTTTTGGGATTCTGGATGTTTTAATAAAAATAGGACCAAACACTGTGATTTCCTCTTTTAACTGTTTCTTCTTTGAACTGTTTATTGATGAAGTTGCTGCTTCTCCGATGAGGGTGCAGGGCTGGCAGCTGACCTGTGGTCATAGGGCCCTACCTTTGACCCACATGTCTTCACTCTGCCCAGGTCTTGTTGACCTTCTCTCCCTTCTCCTAAGGAGATGAGACATTAGTTCAGTTAGTTCTTGGTTCCAGTCCTGAAGTCGTCAAGAAGAACATCTTCATAATGGGTTTCAGGGACGCAGAAGGGAACCTGGGCAGTGAAGTAGACTGAATGACAAGCTCCTTCCTGTAACTGTCTTTTCTCTTCCAGCTACGTTCCCTGGAACCTCCATGAGCCAGAAAGAGGCAAATTTGACTTCTCTGGGAACCTGGACCTGGAGTACGTGGTGTTGCTGCTTCTGTGACCCGGCCCGGGGTGGGAGGCAGAGATGTGTCTTCCTGGGGTGGATTAGGGACCCTAGAGCACCAGAGAGGGATGGGGGCTGGGGGCTGGAGCCCTGTTCTTAGGACACTGTGGGACACTCTGCACCAGGACCCGGGCACTCAGCAGCTGTGCCCTGACACGCAGAGGGGCGGGCCTGCAGCCTGGGGGCCACCTCCCTACTGCAGTCCAGCGGGGCAAAGACCCTAGGGCTTTCCTGCTCTGCTGGCGGGTGGGGCGGGGGACTGAGCCGTCCCTTCACCCCATCTCCCTGGTTGAGAGAGGGAGGGGAGGGGCCGGCAGCCCCGCCACCCTGTGGTACATGCAAGCTCCCCTGCTGGCCTGGCCTGGACTGTCATGGGAGGGACATGACACATTTATGTCTTGTTTACCTCCCTAGGGCCTTTGTCCTGATGGCTGCAGAGGTCGGGCTGTGGGTGATCCTGCGTCCAGGCCCCTACATCTGCGCTGAGATCGACCTTGGTGGCTTGCCCAGGCAAGGGGGGCTGTGGAGTGTGCTGGTGCGAGTGCTCCCAGATGCAGCTTTAGTTTGGCTTTTAAAGTGTAGTTTCCATTCTGTCTGGATTTCCATTTCAGAATACGTAGCACCCAAATGGGATCATTTTGGATGATGTCACAGTCTTGCCCTTGTTAAATCATGTGTGGAATTTTTTACCTGGCAGGCAGCTGGAGAAGGGATGGCCGTCCTGTGACATCTCACACTTTAGTCTCCTCTATGGAGCTGGGACCTCCACAGGTCATTTATCTGCTCTGGACCTCACTCTCCCTGTCTACAAAATGGGAAAAAGCAAACTTGCCCTGTTTATGTCTTAGGGACATTAAAAAAACATTTTTTGAAAAGTCCAAGTATTTTGATAAAGTATAAGAGAAATTTTTCTTATGATTTTGTCATCAAATCTCAGGCCCTAATGTCTTCAATGTGTAGTCTTGACTGAGGTTGGTAGAGTGTTGTGAAGTCGGGATAGAAGTCTGGACAGGAATCAGCGGGGACAACAGTCATTCCTTATCCTCATCATCGTTGCCATTATTTTCTAGCAAAAAGATTTCTTTGTTTGTGGGTGTGACCTTCCCTTCCTCATGCTGCACCTGCTGGTCAGATCCAGCCCTCCCAGCCTGTGCTGCCCGCAGGAAGAAGGCTGACCCTGCTCACCCGGATCTGCCCGGGACCTGCCTCTCCAGCACAAGCACCAAGCCTGGGCCTTGTTTTCTCTCTTGTTTCCAGCATGACCTGCCCTTCCCTCAGGGGCACGGCCTCTGTTTCCATCTCCTGCACTTGCTAGGATGGCTTCTGTGGCGTAGCGGCTGTAGCGCAGCCAGAGCTGCCTCCCCTCCCCTGCGGATTAGAGGCCTCCCTGCTGTAGTCAGCAGTTTCCTCCAGCTCAGCCAGAGCCAGGGCAGGAGGACACGGGGTTGAATAGGCTTAACCTGGAAGCAGCAGCGGGGAGCTCTGGAGCTCAGGCTCCTGGTTGGCGTGGCCTCTGCCCATTCACAGGTGGGGGCACACGGTGCAGGGGAGTGTGAGCAGAAGTGAGGAGCCTGGCCTGTTTGAGGCGGGTGCAATGTGGAGGTCTGTTTGGAGCAAATTGCCCTCTCCTCACCCACTTTTTACCAACATGAATTGATAATTTTCTGACCCCGTTTAGGACTTCCAAATCAGGGCGAGAGGAGCTTTAGAACCTTTTGTGAGAACGTTTGAGTATTTTCTCAGAATTTCAGGTGAGAAGGGCAGCCCGACTCCAGTGTTGGAACTAATCCACGCACTGTCCTCTGGGCTCCTGTGGCCACAGTGTGCAGGCTGCAGACTGGGCTCACCTTCCTGTGGCCGCTGCTCAGGCCGAACTCTGCAGGCCCACATGGCTGCCGTGAAGGGGAGCCTCCCACAGCCTCTGGATCAGGCTTGTCTTTCTGGGTAACACTGGAAGATCACATTTGTGTCCTTCCCCAGCCCCAGCGATTCCTGTCCCCCCTGGCCTCACCGGTTTGTAATGGGGTGTACAGGAAATGCCTGAAAACTGGGCCTTGGGCCCTGTAAAAAGCTTTTCTTACCTTGCCTGGCATCTGTGGGTACCTGCTGCCTGGAAGCTGGAAGCGAACACTGGCAGGGCTGTGTCCTCGGGTAGGGAAGAAGTGGAGAGCATGCTGGGGCTGTGGCAGCACTGGCCCCTAAGTTGGTTGCACAGTCCCCTAACTTCTGGCTGAATGGAGGAGGAGGATGGGGATGAGCTTCAGCGTGTCCTGGTCTCCAGGTCACTCCTGAACACTCTGAAGCTTCCCAAAGCAGACCCACAGACAGTGGCGCTGACACCCTCCCTCCCCTCCCTTTCTACTTCAAGCTGGCTACTCCAGGACCCTGGCATGAGGCTAAGGACAACTTACAAGGGGTTCACCGAAGCAGTGGACCTGTATTTTGATCACCTGATGTCCAGGGTGGTGCCACTCCAGGTAAAAGCAAACGGACCCTTCCTCACTTCTCTTCCTGCTAGGTAGTAGATAACCCTAGGTTAGTTCTCAGGTTCTTCTCAACACAGGAACGCATTCTTCCCCTCAGCCTGAGATTTACACTTGGAGGGGCTCACAGTAGTCATCTTTTGAAAGGTCAGTGCCTTTCAGGGTTGTCTCAGGCAGTGCGGTGCTGACAGGACAGACAGGTGTGGGGCCTCACATTGCTTCACACAGTGCTGGAGCTGCAACTCGTGATGGGTGGATAGGTGTGTCCTGACAACTGAAGCACCCACATGTCAGCATGCCAATAGCACAGCGACTCAGTTCTGCACAGAGAGGAGCGTATGTGGATAGGTCCTCACTTATGAGACAGCAGGACGTTTTGTAATTATAAAATTCCAAGTGGTGACTTTTCCCTCTGCTACCAAAAAGGTGCTGCATGGTACACATTTACTGTTCAAAACATATGTGTTAAAATGAATTTTTGGGGGGGCCGGCCTGTGGCTCACTCGGGAGAGTGCGGTGCTGATAACACCAAGGCCCCGGGTTTGGATCCCATATAGGGATGGCCAGTTAGCTCACTGGGTGAGCGTGGTGCTGACAACACCAAGTCAAGGGTTAAGATCCCCTTACTGGTCATCTTTAAAAAATAAAAAAATAAAAAAATAAATAAAAATAAAATGAATTTTTTTGGAGAAGCTATCCTAACATTTCATGTAATAATTGGAAGCAATAAAAAAGCAGGAATCGGAGTAATTAATTCAGTTTCTTATTTAAAACCATGAAGAGTGACACTGAGAAATTAGTCCATCAATAAAAATTAATAAATCAATAAAACTTGCTCTTGAGTCAAGGGTTTGGAATATTCACAGCACACATAAATCAAAAGGAGCTGTTTGATCATTCGTAGGGTTGCCAGATCAAACACAGGATGCCCAGTTAAATTTGAATTTCAGGTAAGCAAGTAATAATTTGTTTAGTATAAATATGTCCCAAATGAAACATATTTTAAAAACATCGTTCATTTTTTATATAGAAATTATTCCTGTAAATTCAAATTTAACTGGGTTTCCTGTAGTTTAATTTACCACGTCTGGCAGCCCTAATCATGAAAGAAGTGAGAAGCTGGGGAGTTATTAGCCTAGATTTTTGCAGGGGAGATGGGGTTGCTGAGGTGACTCAATGGGTTATAGTAACAAGTAGGGGGGTAGAGGTAGGGTAGTAGAGAAGGGCTCTCTAGAACATAGTTCAGAGGCATTCTTAGACATGGAAATTACATACCAAAGATTTTTTAAAAATTTTCTTTTATGGGTGGAGGTATAACACAGTTATATTATTTTAATTATTTTTTATTGTGCTAAAATATGCATAATGTAAAATTTACCATTTTAACCATATTTAAGTGTACTCTTCAGTGGTATTGAGGATATTTACATGGTTGTGCCATATCACCCCCACCTTAGTTTGGGCTGCTATATAAACTCTCATCGATGGTGGCTTATAAACAACAGAGCTTTATTTTTCTGGAAGTCTGAGATCAGGGTGCACCATGGTCATGTTCTGGTGAGGGTCTCTTCCAGGTTGCAGATGACCAACTTGTATCCTTATATAGCAAACAGTGAGAGAGCTCTCTGGGGTCTCTTTTATAAGGGCACGAATTCCATTGACATAATCATCTCCCTAATGTCCCACTTCTTAATACCATCATGTTGGGGGTTAGGATTTCAACATATGAATTTTGGGGGAGCACAGACATTTGGTCTGTTGCAACCACTATTCATTTCCATTACTTTTTCCTCTTCTCCAACCGAAACTCTGTACCCATTAAACTTCTCATCCTTTTCTCTCTGGAAACCACCATTCCAGTGTCTGTCTCTGAATTTCATTACTCTAGCTACCTCTTACCCATGGAATCATACCGTAATTTAACTGGCTTATTTCACTTAGCATAATGTTCTCAAGTCTCATCCATGTTGCAGCTTGTGTTAGAATTTCCTTCCTTTTTAAGGCTATATACCGGACCACATATCACATTCTGTTTATCCATTCATCCATCAATGGACACTTGGGTTGTTTTCACCTTTTGGCTACTGTGAAAAATGCTGCTATGAACATGGGTGTACAAATATCTGTTCAAGACCCTGCTTTCACTTCTTTTGGGTATATACCTAAAAGTGAAGTTGCTGGATCCAATTTTAATTCTGTGCTGAATTTTTGAGGAACCGCCATGTTTCCATAGAAGTTGCACCATTTTACATTCCCACCAGTAATGCACAAGCATTCCAGTTTTTCCACATGCCCACCAACACTTGTTTTCTGTTTATTTGATAAGAGCTATCCTAATGGGTGTGAAATGGTATCTCACTGTGGTTTTGATTAATATTTTCCTAAAGACTAGTGGTGTTGAGTATCTTTTCATGTGCTTATTGGCCATTTGTGTATCTATGAGAAATGTTTATATAAGTCTTCTGCCCATTTTTTGAATCCAGTTTGCTTTTTTGTTGTTGAGTGGTAGGAGTTCTTTAGATATTTGGGATATCAATTTCTTATCAGATATATGACTTGCAAACATTTTCTCCGACTTCATGGGTGCCTTTTCACTCTGAGAGTGACCTTTTATGCAGAAAAGTTTTAAAATTTGATTAAGTCCAACATATTCATTTTTTCTTTTGTTGCCTTTGCTGCTGGTGCCATATCCAAGAGACTATTACCAGATCTAAGGTCATGAAGCTTTTTCCCTATGTTTTCCTCTGAGAGTTTTATAGTTTTAGCTCTTACATTTAGTTCTTTGATTTATTTTGAGTTAATTTTTGTATATGTGTAAGGTAAAGGTTGAGCTTCATTTTTTGCATGTGGATATCCAGGTTTTTGACCATTTGTTGAAGACTCTGCTTTCCCCACTGAATGACTTTGGCACCTTTGTCAAATATCATTTGAACACACATCTGTCTTCATGCCAGTACCATACTGTTTTGATTACTGTAGCTTTGTAGTAAGTTTTGAAATTAGGAAGTGTGAGACCTTTAATTTTGTTCTTTTTTGGCATTGTTTTGGCTATTCAGTGTCCCTTGAGAATTGAATTAGTCTGTTTCTGTTGCTAATGACAGACTACCTGACACTGGGTAATTTATAAAGAAGTGAAATTTATTTCTTACAGTTTCAGAGCCTGGGAAGACCAAGGTCCAGGGAACACATCTGGTAAGGGCCTTCTCCTGTGGTGACTAGGGTGTCACATGGCCTGAGTGAGTTGAGCAAGAGAGAGCTAAACTTCTCACTCACTGTCTTTTTAAAGCCATCAGAGCCACACCCATTACTCCACAAATAGATCAATCCGTTCACTGTGGCACGGTCCTCACAATGTAATGACCTCTTAAAGGCCTCACCTTCCAAATGCCATAGTAGGATTTCTCACTCTCTTAACAATGTTACTATTGGAATCAAGTTTCCAATATATGAACTTTTGGGAGACACATTTGACCTATAGCAATAATCCACATGAGTTTTAGGATGGCTTTTTCTATTTCAGCAAAAACATCATTGAGATTTTGATAGAGAATGCATTGAATCTCTAGATCAGTTTGGGTAGAATTGACATCTTAATAATGTTAAGTCTTCCAATCCTTTGTGTCTTTTTAATTTTCTTTTAGCATCATTTTGTAGTTTTCAGTGTATGGGTATTTCACCTCCTTGACTGAATTTATTTATAATATTTTGTTCTTTTTGATGGTACTGTAAATGGAATCATTCATTGCTGGTGTATAGAAACAGTGATTTTTGTGCATTGATTTTTTTATGCTGCAGATTTTCTAAATTTATTAGCTATAAGGTTTTTAAAAAATAATTTGTGTGTAATCTTTACAATTTTCTACATTTAAAATCATGTTGTCTACAAACAGAGGTAAGTTTATTTTTTTCTTTCCAATTTGGGTGCCTTTTATTTCTTTTTGTTGACTAATTGCGCTGGGTAGGACTTCCAGTACTATGTTGAATGGCAAAAGCAATGATCCTAGTCTTATTTCTGATCTTAGAGTAAAAGCTTTCAGTCTTTCACCATTGGGTATGATGTTGGCTGTGGGCTTTCTATATATAGCCTCTATTATGTTGAGGTAGTTTCCTTTCGTTTCTCCTTTGTTGAGTGTTTTTATCACGAGAGAGTGTTAAATTGTGTCAAGTGTTTTTTCTGCATCAATTGAGATCTTGTGTTTTTTTCCTTAATTTTGTTAATGTGATCCATTACCTTGATTGATTTTTGTATGTTGAATTATCCTTGCATTCCAGGAATGAATTCCACTTGTTCATGATATATCTTTTTAGTATGCTACTGAATTCAGTTTGTTAGTATTTTTGTTGAGAATTTTTGCATCAGTATACATTAGGGATATTACTGTGTAGTTTTCTTTTTTTACAGCATCTTTGTCTGGTTTAGAAATGCTGGCTTCATAAAATAAGGTAGGAAGTGTTCTCTCCTCTTCAGTTTTTGGGAAGAGTTTGAGAAGAATTGGTGTTAATTCTTTTTGAAATGTTTGACAGAATTCATCAGTGAAGTCATCTGGTTTGGAGGGTTTTGGTTACTGATTCAATCTCCTTACTAGTTATAAGTCTATTCAGATTTTCTGTTTCTTTAGATTCAGTCTTGGCACATTGTGCGTTTCCAGAAATATGTCTGTTACATCTGTATTATTCAGTTTGCTGATATACAGTTGTTTCTATTCCTTGCTTACAATCCTTTTCATTTCTGTAAAATTAGCGGTAATATCCCCTATTTTGTTTCTGACTTTTAGCTGAGTCTTCTCTCTTTTTTTCTTAGTCAATTTGGCTAAAGATTTGTCATTTTGTTGATCTTTTCAAAAAAGGAACTCTTGGTTTTGTTAATTTTTCTTTATTGTTTTTCTATTCTCTATTTTGTTTTTCTGTGCTCTAAACTTTATTATTTCCTTCTGCTGCCTTTGAGTTTAGTTTGCTTCCTTTATTCTAGTTCCTTAAGGTGTAAAGTTAGGTTGTTGATTTGAGACCTTTCATCTTTTAAATGTGTTTACAGCTGTAAATTTTCCTCTTAGCACTGCTTGTGCTGAATCCTGTGTTTTGTGTTTTCATTTTCATTTATCTCAAGATATTTCCTAATTTCTTCTGTGATTTTTTTTTTCATTCAGCCATTGGTTGTCTGGGAGAATTTTCTTTAATTTCCACATATTTGTGAATTTTTTGGTTTTCTTCTTACTGTTGATTTCTAGTTTCATTCCACTGTGATTGGAAAAGTTACTTTGTCATAGGTCAATATATTAAAATTTAGTAAGACTCATTTTGTGGCCTAACATGTGGTGTAGTGTACTGGAGACTGTTCCATGTACTTGTGAGAAAAATGTGTATTGAGCTGCTTTGGGGTGGAGTGTTGTATGTATACCTGTGAAGTCCAGTTGGCCTCTAGTGTTGTTCAAGTCATCTGTGTTGTTATTGATTTTCTGTTTGGTTGTTCTATCCATTATCGATAGTGGGTATCTACAGTAGTCTCCTGCTATTATTGTAGAGCTATCCATTTCTTCCTACAATTCTGTCAGTGTTTGCTTAATATATTTTGGAGCTCTGGTGTTGGTGCATATGTTTGTAATTATTATGTCTTCTTGGTGAATTGACCCTTTAATCATTATATATTTTATATAATGTCCTCCTTTTTCTCTTGTAGCAGTTTTTGACATAAAATCAATTTTGTTTGATATTAGTAAAGCTGTCCTGCTCTCCTTTGGCTACTATTTGATTAGAATATCTTTTTCCATTTTTTTAACTTTCAACCTGTGTGTATCCTTAGATTGAAAGTGAATATCTTGTTGACAGCATATAGTTGGATATTGTTTTTCTAGTCCATTCTGCCAATGTATGTCTTTTGATTGGGGAATTTAATTCATTTACATTTAAAGTAATTACTGATACAGAAGCACTTACTTTTGCCATTTTGTTTTTTTCTGCACGCCTTACAGCTTTTTTTGTCCCTCATTTTCTCCACTACTGCCTTCCTTTGTGTCTAGTTGATTTTTTATAGTAATGCATTACTTTTCATTTCATTTTGTATATATTCTGTAGGTGTTTTCTTTGTGGTCATTATGGGATTATATATAATATCTTAAAGTTGTGACATTCTACATCATATTGATACCAACTTCCATCACATACAAATATACCACCCTTTTACAGTTCTGCTTCCCCACTTTATTTTACTGATGTGACAAATTGTATCTTTATTTGTGGTGTACTCATTAACTTAGACTCATAACTATTTTTATGTGTTTGCCTTTTAAATCTTGTAAAAGGTAAAAAATGGCACTGTAAACTAAAATTACAATAATATTGTTTTGTATATTTTTTCATGTATTTAGCTTTACTGGAGAACTTTATATTTTTATATAGCTTCAAGTTACTGTGTAGCATCCTTTCGTTTCAACAAAGGCATTTCTCTTAGGGCAATTCCAGTGGTAATGAACTCCCTCAATTTTTCTGTTTGGGAATGTCTTAATTTTTCCCTCATTTTTAAAAGACAGTTTTGCTGGATATAGAATTCTCAGTTGACACTTTTTTTTTTCTTTCAGCACTTGAATTTATCATCCCATTGCCTTCTGGTCTGCAAGGTTTCTGCTGAGATATCCCTGATAGTTTTATTGAGGGTCCCTTATAAGTGACAAGTCACTTATGTCTTGCTGCGTTCAAGAATCTCTCTTTTGTCTTTGTCTTTTAATAGTTTGATTATAATGTGCTTTTGTGTGAATCTCTGGGTTTTTCTACTTGGAGTTTATTGAGTTTCTTAGACTTGCACACTCATGTCTTTCTTCAAATTTGAGAGGTTTTCAGCCATTACAGTAGTCTCTTCTTATGCACAGGGATACATTCAAGACCAGTGGGTGCCTAAAACTGCAGATAGTACTGAACTGTATACAGTCATGCATCACTTAATGATTGGGATACATTCTGAGAAATGCATCGTTAGAGGATTTTACTGTGTGAACATCATAGCACGTACTTACACAAACTTAGATGGTACAGCCTGCCACAAACTTAGGCTATATAGTATAGCCATAATAACCTTAGGGACCATTGTTGTATATTTATCTGTTATTGACTGAAAAGTTGTTATGTGGCACATGACTATATGTACTGTGTTTTTTCCTGTACATACATACCTGTGATAAAGTTTAATTTATAAATTAGGCACAGTAAGAGATTAACAACAGTAAATAATAATATAATAGAACAATTGTAACAATATACTGTATTAAAAGTTATATGAATGTTTATTTCAGGAATTTTTCATTTAATACATCTTGGACCATGTTTGATTGTGGGTAACTGAAACTGTGGAAAGAGAAACTACAGATAATGGTGGTCTACTGTATTTCTTCACATAATCTCTGTCCCTTTCTGTCTCTTCTCCTTCTGGGATTCCCAGAATGAGTATATTGGGTCTACGTAAAGGTGTTGCATAAATCTCTTAGGCTCTGTTCATTTTTCATCCTTCATTTTTCTTCTCAGACTCAATAATTTCAAATGACCTATCTTCAAGTTTGCTTATCCTTTCTTCTGCCTGTTTGAATCTGCTATTGAACTTATCTAGTGAATTTTTCAATTTAGATATATTTTTCAGCACCAGAATTTTGGTTTAGTTCTTTTTGATAATTTCTATCTCTTTGAAATTCTCATTTTGTTCATATATCATTTTCCTGGTTTCTTTTAGTTATCTCTTTTTTTCCTTTAGCTCTTTGAGCATATTTACAACAGTGTTATAAAGTCTTTGTTTGGTAAGTCTGGTGTGTGTGTTTCTTTGGAGACTGTTTCTGAAGATTTATTTTGTTCCTTTGACTGAGCCATGTTTCCCTGTTCTTTGTATGCTTGGTGGGTTTTTTTTTGCACATTGGCTGGTTGAAAAGAATTCACCTCTCCTAGTCTTTGCAGACTTGCAAAGAAGACCTTCACTAGTTAGTGAGCCCCTGTTCCTAGTGATCAGCCCATGGTGAAGATGGAATAGTTCAGATCATTTCTGGGCATGTGTCCTGTCTGCACCCGAGTGTGTGCTTTCTTTTTTACTTTTTTCCCCACGGTTACTTTTAAATGTCTCATTTCCCAAAGAGTCTCACCCCAGCTTCTTCTTGGGCCTTAAGTGTTCTATCATATTATTCTGCCCATAATTCCTTGCTCCCAGGCATCCGTCGGTTTGTAGTCCCCCAGCAGTTTTTACATGCTGTGGCACCTGCCACTGCTTTTTGCAGCTTTCAGCCTGAGGTCCAAACTATACTGATGTTTCCTGTCTGAGCTCCAAGTCAAACAAGACAGAAACCATTCCTTTGGGCAGCCCACAGACAAGCCAGAATATCATGAACAAGTTCCATCCTGAGAGAGGGAACTGGTAATCAGGATACTTCCTCCTGACCACAACATGCTACACTGAGGAGGAGATGGGGCAAGGGCAAGGGCAAGCAGAAACATCACACAATTTCCTACCATTTTGCATGTGGCTTTTTCTTGGTTGGGTGGTCACTTGGTTTCTAGAGCTCCTGTAAAGTTATTTATTCATTCCATAGTTGTTTATTTGAGGTTTTCACGGGAGAACAGGGCCTGATACTTCGTACTTGTCTAACTGATGTCACTCTCAATTATATTCCAAACCTTTTGAGGCTTTTGTTTTCAAATGGGATATTTTCCTAGCAATTGGTGACAGGTGCGGTGAATTTAGATAATACATTTCCCACTGCAAACTCAGCTTTTGATTGTTCATCTCTTCTCCCCAGTACAAGCGTGGGGGACCCATCATTGCTGTGCAGGTGGAGAATGAATATGGCTCCTATAACAAGGACCCTGCTTATATGCCCTACATCAAGAAGGTGAGAGTCAGCTCAATTCATTTCTTCATATTCCTTCCTCTGGAATGTATGATAGGCTATGCTGTGGTGTGTGTGTCTAATATTTTTCTCTGTTAATGCCTCATCTCCCAACACTATTTATTAATCAGGGAATATTTTTGCATTGTTTTATTTCAACAGGGTTGTCACTTACCCTTTATTGGTTGAATTTAATTTGTGGATTGCAGTACACACATGGTGTTGCAATGGCTGAGAATAAGGAATTGACTTAATTGAGTGGTGATGATTAGGAAGTTTTCCTTGAGAAGCTGCTCTCATCCCAGCATCTAAAACAGTGGCTCCCCACCTTGGCTTTATGTGGGGAATTTTTAAAAATCCCCCTGTGCAGGCCATATGCTATACCCATTAAATAAGAATCTTGTGGGTGGTACCTTGACATCTGATTCCAGTGTGTGGGGAGGTTGAGAACCACTGACTTAATATATGGCAGATCAGGTAGGGCAGGGCTAGAGTAACTCTTAAAAGAACAGGCTAACATTCAGATCTGTTTTCTGTCATGTAGTAGCTGAGATTCTGGACAAATGCCTTAATTTTTTAAACCCTTTTTCTCTTCTGAAAAGTGGGACTGATAAGACCATCTGCCTCTCTGAAGTGCACTATGAGATCGTGTGGCTCAGTACCTTTCTAGGTGTACAGTGAGTTGTCAATAGATCAGACTTCTACAGAATCACTGGCATTAGTTTTAGAGGCCTTCAGAGGGTTGGCTATGGTTTGAGTTGAGGAGAAGTTACATGGGCCGAGTGGGCCCACCTCACTGAAGCTGGAGGCTTTGTTCCTTGATGCCCCGGGCAGCAGCTCTTCTGCTGTCCCACGGAAATTCATTTTCCATGTGGAAATTACTTCAGTCCCTGGAGACAGGAGACTGAGGGTCAAACCTTTCAGCTTGTAGGTTCTTGCGTGCTCTTTCCTCTTCTTCTCACCTGCAGAAAGCCCTCTTAGTAGGGGCAGGACAGGTGTCACTCCTCCAGCTGGAAAGAGGTGAGTGCAATCCTGATGCACAAGCCTAGCTGCAGCCTGAATTAGAACACACTTCTAGCTTCCTTTGCCTTTGAATAGATAGCAAGAAAGATCCCACCCCGGGCACAGGATTCGATAGCTGCTCCTGCTGTACCTGGTGCCCTGGGGCTCCTCCAGCAGTTGTTAACTTAATTCCTCGGCTGTGAAGAAGGAGAGTGCCACTGAGCAGGAAGAGGAAAGTGGAGCTCCCTCAGGGACCTAGCCTGCTCAGTCATGCTCCCCTGGTGACTGGGCAAAGGTACCCATGTGTGAGGCAGGCAGACACAGAGAAGCAGCAGTGCCCAGCCTCTGTTGTCCTGAAGCTCTTGGACTGCCATGCAGCTTCTCCTGGGGTGTCGCAGAGATGTGGCTGGGACCAGCACTGTGTAACCTTGGGCACATTATGTGCAAGATGGAGACAGGAATGCTTTTCTCTGAGGCTGCCGTTGAGAATGGGGTGAGACAGCAGACAGCGAGCCCTGAGCCATGCTGGGCAGATTGCCGGTGCTCAGGAACTGGTAATTATGCCTCACTTGGGGGAGTCAGTAGCTGAATGCCTGTGAAAGGTTAAGTGTGTGTGTACATGGTAGGAACCTAAGCAAAAGTGTGTTAAATATCAGTGGATAACTGTTCGGATGGTTTTGGTAAAAATCTCCCCTAGCCTCATGGGTTCTGTTGCCCTGAAGATTACAGCCCTCTGCTCTTCCCTAGCCAGCATGCACAATTAGATGTGAGATTTATTCACCCACCAGATCATGTCTCTGCCTCCCCTACTGCCAAAAGAATCAGTTGAAATAAATAGTCTTGTCATAATAGCCACAGGGAGAATGATGGGATAGCCCCCTTTCCTGGGGTTTCTGATCCGTGAGAACCCAGAGTGAGCCTTTGAGTGTGGACAGACTCTGGGCTGAGCCCCAACCCGAGTCATTAGCTCCGTAACCTGTAGTCCTTTGTTCATCCTCTCTGAGGCTCTTCTCTGTAGTATTAAGATATTAATGGTGAGGACTGAATTGGGAGTCTGTGCTGAACACTTGCGGGAGGCCTGCCAAACGTGCTTCCATTCCCTCATCCTCTAATTCACAGCCTCCACCAAGTGCTTCCTGCTGTGCTGGGCATGGGCAGGGGACTGTGGCATGGCTGGGCTGTCCTTGCCCTTGCTGTTGACCAAGCCCACACCGGTTTGGTGTGGGAAAGGGACAGGCTGCTTGCTTATGGTGTGGGCAAAGGGGAAGGTGTGGGTGTTGTCCTGGAGGCCTGGCCCATGCACGGGAGCCCAGCAAGCAGTTGCCAGGTGACAGTGTGGCAGCAGGGTCCCCAAGTCAGCTTCTGAGAAGGCCCATCTAGGAGTGGCACACTGGCCAGAGCTTGTCAGTCCTACCTTCTGCTTCAGCTGAAATTCAAGCTCATTGGAGCTTTGCTGGAGATGGTGAGCACATAAAGGGTGGGTTTTTCTCTGTTTTCTGCAGAGAAATAAATGCTTTATTTAGATTCTGTCACTCTTGCTCTCCAGGCTACACCACCCAGCTGCGTGGCACTCAGGAGCTTTGAGGAATGAGGACAGACTGACTTAGTTTATTTCCCCCACAGGCCTTGGAGGACCGCGGTATCGTGGAGCTGCTCCTGACTTCAGACAATAAGGATGGCCTGAGCAAGGGATTCATGCACGGAGGTACTTACATGGAGGGTGGGTGCCGGGCAGCTCCCCTGGCCCACTGTGCATGCTTCCAGTGGACTGAGACCCAAGCAGGACCTTCTCCGGCACCTGTTCTTCTCCCGTGTGCACGCCACTGGGCCTGGAGCTCTGGGCTGCAGAGGGGCAGAGGTCCGTGTCAGAAACGAGCGAGAGTTGGCCAGCTCTGCAGTGGGCCTCCTGCTGCCCTGCTTGCGGGCTTTCTTCTGTCAGAGAATCACAGCTCTGTCTCTCCCCAGTGCACAGGCCCCAAACCTTGTAGTCATTCTGAGTTCCTATCCTCCTGTACATCTGACGCACAGCCATCCTACATCCTTTTATCTTCAGCTTTGTCTTCAGAATATATCTAGAGTCCTGCCATGTCTTACCACTCAGGTGCTGCCATCATTCCCACCGCCTTCTTGCAGTAGCATTCCCTGCCTCCGCCACACCGCGTTCTCAGCACAGCAGCCTGTGTGTGCCTTTGAGAATGTGATCTGGATCATGTCGCTCCCCTGCCTGAACTGCAGGCACTCGCATCTCAGCGTGAAGTGCAAGCTCTGAAAGACCTCGTGGGGCTGGGCTCGCCTCCTGCTGCTCTCCCCTGGCCCACTCTGTTCCGCCTTCCTTGCTGTTCCTCAAGCACACTGGACCCCCAGCCTCAGGGACCTTGCACGGCCGAGAGCTGCATGGCTGTCCTTTGAGGTCATTGCCTGGGCAGTGAGGCCCTCTATGAGCACCCCACTTGAAACTGCACCTCCTCCAGGCTCACCCAGTGCTTCTCCTGCTTTATTTTTGCCTTCTGACGTTCAGGATAGTATATTGATTTTACTTATCTGTTTCACTGCAGCAGTGAGCTCTGCGGGTCTTGGGTTCTGTCTGTCTGGTTCCGGCTGTGTCTTCTCCTGCCCAGACCTGCCATGTGGACTGGAAAGATGCAGGACCCTCATCCCTGGTGGCAGGCTCTAACTGTGGGCTGCTGCCACCATGCTAGCTGGCCTCTGTTGCAGCGTGCAGCACGCAGGATTCTGTTCCTTTGTGTTTCCCTCCATAGACCAAACTGCTTGTAAATCGGGACTTGTATCTCGGTATCCCTATGGCAGCACCGGGCATGCGGTTGGCACCCAGGAAGTGACTGGGGATGAATGGGGAGGAGGGGGCTCTGTCCCCTGGCATACGGAGTTAGTCAAGGACCTGGGCCCTGCATCTCAGGCTGTGATAAGGAACAACAGCGATTCCCGCTGTCCCCACGCGGTGGCACTGTCTCCCCACGGCTGTGTGGGAAAGGCTCTTTTCGGTGCAGGTCACATTCTTAGGGCTTTGATCAAGGCCTGCCGGGAGGCTGGGAGTCTCCAGGAGCTTTCCCCACATGCCCCGCTCCTGCAGACACCACCCATGCTAGGAGAGTGAACAAGAAAACTTACTGTGTATATCTGAAGTTCACAGCGCGAGGTGTGGGACACACGTAGATAGTAAAGTGGTTGTTCGAGTGAAGCATCTTAACATGTCTGAGCCATCTGCCCTCTCACAGTTATTTTTTTGTGGCAAGAGCAGCTAAAACCTACTTAGTTAACACAGACCCCGAGTGCAGTGCGGTTTTGTTACCTGTAGCCTCGCCGTGCGTTTGGTCTGGAGCCTCGCTCACCCTACACGTCTGCTGTTTCGCATCCTTTGCATCCTTCGCCTACACTCCCCTCCACCCGTGGCAACCGCTGTGTTGTTGTCCCTCTCTGTGCATCTGAGCTCTTTTTTGTTTTCATTTCACACGTTACTGAGAGCACGCAGTGTTTGTCTCTCTGTCTGTTCCATGGTCTTGGCGTTGATGTCAGTGTGGGCGCCACGGGCGTGTGAACGTTGGTCACTGCAGGCCACCTGCTGCGTCCAGGCTGTGCTGCTGCTCAGTATTTGTGAATTTACAAGTTGCCAATCGACTCACTTTTCAATGTGCTTAGTTGTCACCTTCAATGTAATTATCCTGTCTTTCTTTTCAGTTCAATTCCTCTCTTTTCTCTCCCTTCTCCCTCCCCGCCCTCTTCTCTTTTAAACAAATGCTTTACCAGGGACCTTCCAGACACCTATGACAGGTATTTTTCAAAGGCCTGCACATATCAGATTCTACCCCAGGCCGAGTCTAGCTGTCTGGAGACCTCGCTCCTGTGTTTCTGATCTGCACGGTGGCCTGCAACATAGCTTCTATCCTGAGCCCGTCCCTTGTGTTGGGTCCTGTTTCCTGGGATTTTGAAGGCTCTGTGCCATTATTGCTAGCATCCACTGTTGCTGCTGAAGCACTGTGACATTCTGGTTCCTGATCCTTTTATACGTCCACCCCTCTTGCCCCTCACCCACCCCGCCACGTCTAGAAGTTTTAGAATTTTCCTCTTATCCTTGGCATTCTGTTATTTCACAATAGTGTTCTTTGTGTGAGACTTTCTTCACGGTCACAGCGCTTCTGTGGGTCACTTTAATTGGCACGGTGTGCCCATTGGTGGTGGGACACTTGGGCTTTGCATGTCTCGATGACGCTCTATCCTCTTTCCCTCTGGTCATTTGGTCTTTCCTGTCATTTGTGCACTGGACTGTCATACTGATTCTCAGAGTCCCTTAATTTTTCTACTTTTTATCTCTTTTCGTTTTAGTTCTACTTTCTGATTGCCTTCCTCAACTTTTATCTTCCAGTCCTTCTGTTATTTCCTGGATCACATTACTCTTAAATACATGTCTTTTCTCATGGCATGCTTAATGATGCCATCTTTGTTATCTTTCCCTGAGGATGTTTTCCCTGTTTTTTTACAAAGCACCACGTTTCTTCCTTCATTGGTGCTGCTGGCTCTTGTGCTGTTCCTGTTGGCTTGGGCTTCCCTGTGAGGGGAGCTTTCTGTGCTCTGGCTTCCACCGTGCCCCTGAGGCCAGAGGTGCCAAGTGGTTGCCTGGGAGCTGCAAGGTGGGAGAGGATGTTGCAGGAGTCTTCCCTGGGGGGCACTGGGCTGTGGCAGCTGTTTCACGGAGGGAAATGCAGATGTGGGTGTTTGCAGATATTGTCTTCAGCACTATTAAGGCTTCCAGAGGAAAAGCCTTGGGTCTCTTGCTGCAGACATTTTGGGAGCAGGCTGGAGTGATGGGCAGGAACCCTCCACTTAGGCTGCCTGTGTTCCTGCTTCAGTTTTCCCATCCCCTCTCACCTCCCACCCCTCCAAGCTCAGAGCCACTTAGGGCCAGCTCGGGGGGGGGGTGGGTCCCCGCTGAGGGGATGGGCATGTGTGGGGAAAGAGTCTTGAGGACGGGGGCCTCCTCCCCCTGCTTGGGGCCTGGGGCTTGGCCGGAGGGAGGGAGGCATTGGCTGCAGGTGGAGCTAGCCATGACTTCTTCCACTTTCCAGGCCACTTACTGTTCTACTGTCCTTACCAGTTTCCCAAGATTTCCTTGGGAGAACTATCCAGACGTAGATACTTTATGTCTGCTAACGCATCCTCCCCACTCTCGTTCCCTGTGGCCGTCTACCTGTCCTTCCTTTTGCTAGTGTTGCAGTGAGGTGTCAGGAAGGGTAGTCCCTCGATGCTTGTGCTCAGCTAGCCACGTGAGTCCCGCTGACTTTGGGGATTCCTTCCTGTTCAGTTTCAGGTAAGCCTCATGTCTGCAAGGGGCTTCTAATTTTAGGTGAGGAGGGGTCTTCCCCAGTAGGTTGCTGCAGGACAGTGACATCACAGGACTGTGGCTTGGTGTTGGGTGGGCCTGGGTTTGCAGCCCTATGCTGAAGTTCATGGGTTGTGTGAGACCTGGGGTGACCTATCATACCTCACAGAGCCACAGCTACTGTCCTTTTTCTTTGCTGGTGACCAGGAGCTTATGTCCCACAGGAGAGCATCAGGGTGGCTCAGTCTCTGTCATGTATTCCTGGGCCCATTGGGGCCCAGGCCATAGCCTGTTCACATGAAGCCCAGTGTTCAGGTGGACAGCAGGTGGGCAAGGAGCCTCAGAGTCATGTTCTGCAGCTGGGACAGGGCAGGGGATCTGTGGCCATCGGCCAAACATAGCACATCTTCCTTGAGCATATATTTCACTGATGGGAAGCCATTTGAAATATCATTTTAGATTTTTAAATGAACACATTATGTGGTAGAATAGAAAATCAGCCCTCCTCAAGAAATACATAGAAGTCTTCAGTTAGATCATTCCCCGGTCCTCCTAGATGCTTGGGGTGCAGAGTTAAAGATCAGACTCTGGTTCATGCAAAGAATGATTGACAGATGTGCACACTCTGGTGGTAAAAATCAGTTAGTCAGGAACAGATGCTTAGTGAGTGACTGCAGTGTCAGTTCTTGCTGAGTGGTAGAACTTCCAGGATGAACACGGTCTCTGGCATCAGAGGAGCTGACTTCTCACTGGAGGTGGGAACAGTGAAGGACTGTTAATTTGTTGTGCTGATGGACTGAGAGGGTCTGGGGTAATTCGGAAAGGCTTCCTGTAAGACAGCATTTGTTTCTCCTTCCCCTTTCCCTTCACAGTGCTGGCCACCATGAACTTACAGTCGCGACATGAGCTGCAGTTACTAACCACCTTTCTCTTAAGTGTCCAGGTAAGTCTAGCCCATGGGAAGCTGCCAGCCCTGCTGAGCACAAGTGCAGGAATCCTGCCTGCCTGCGCGTGCTCAGTGCTCCCTGGGTGGGGAGAAGGATGCTGGGCCATCCCAGCCCATCAGCTCACAGCCTGCGTTGCAAGAGCCGCAGCGTGGAAGCTGCCCGGCGGCGGTGTTGTGTAGGCTGGCACAGTGTGAATGAGACACACGGTCACCGGAGGCTCCAGGCTCAGTGAGCTCCTAGAGGGCTCCTGACTAGACTTCTGTGGACTTGCTCCCAGGGGTTATCCTGTACCACAGAAGGTGTCTGACCTTAATGTGTGAGGCCCCTCCAGTCCTAGAAAGATTATTGTCATCACAGGCCAGGAAGCCTGGTGCACTCCAGGTCAGATGGAGAGAGAGGAGTTTCTGGATGTGTCTCAACATCCATCAGATCTGTGGGCATTTGCAGCTCAGTCCTGTTCTGATGGATCCCTCTTGGGTTCGTGCGTCTCTTCTAAGGAGACATGCCCATCTGCAGACCAAGAGGCCCCGTCTCCCACCCTGGCTCACTGGACGCTGTGAGTGTCACACCTGCCACACGTCCACGTGATCCTGGACCTAGAGCAGAGCTGTTGGTGTGTTTGTATCACCGGGGCACAGACGCCTGTGGAGGTGCTGGGCTGTGTTCCATTCCAGCGATGGCCTTTTAGAGCAGGGGCCGTGTCCTCAGGCTTGTCCATATGATGTCACCATGGTGGTGTGAGGCCATGTAGGTGATGGCTATGTGTGTGTGTGATGTGGCTCCTACTGGAGTGGGCGAAGACTTCTGTTAGGCTGATCATCTGGGAGATGGTGAATACAGCTGGGTCCAGCTCAAGGCCCGTCTTCCTCTCCTTCCTTCCTATGGTATTTCCTGAGTGCCTGCTCCATGCCTCGAGTGGTGCTTGGGCCTATTATGCTGCATTACTGAGGCCAAAGGTGTCTGTTCTCGTGCAGTTTGTAATCTGTTTAGGAAGAGAGAGACGTGTGAAATACACAGTCACATGATAACCAGGTAGAATTTACTTGAGCTGCCACAGAGAAGCACAGGAGGCTGTGAACCGCCCTGCACATGCTCGGCCACTGTGTAGGGTGTGACTGTCGGCAAGTGACCCAACCTCTGTGTGCTTCTCCTTCTTTCTCAGTTAGGTGGGCATAATGAGAGTACTTACTTACAGGGTTGCATGAAGGTTAAATGAGGTAAAACTTGAAAAGCACCTGGTACAGCAGCTGGTACAAATGTTGGCTCCCTCAGGGCATCCTGGGAGAAGCCTGGGCCATCCCAGGCTGGGAGGTCCTGCTAACAGAACAGCACTGCTAAAAGGCTTTCCTGTGCACAGGTCGAAGATGTCTGTTTTGCTTAAGGTAGGAGACTTAGATGATTCCTTGTTCAATTCAAGGGTTCCTTTGAATGGATAATCCAGGCCCCAGCTCTGCTTAACTCTGGGATGTCCAATATTTTCTCGCTAGTCCTTTGTGCCCATGCCACGTGGTGAAGGTCATGAGTGCACATGTTTCTCGAGCACGTCCTGTGTGCCAGCACTGTGTGCTCAGGGCTTTATGTGCACTCTCTCATTCAGTTCTCCCAAAAAGAGTGTGAGCTAGCTTCTGCTGTTACTGTGTTACAGTTAAGGAGACAGACATAGAACGGGTAAAGCTCCCAGGAGGTGGTGGGTGTGGGATTACAGTGCAGTGTGATTGCCGAGCTCCGGCTCTTTACCACATGTGCGCAGTGCAGAGACCTGGGCCACTGGTGGACACCCATCTGCCTTGACCCTCTAACCGTCAAGCCAGGGAGCCCACTCCTGGCACTGGCGATTCTTAAGATGTGGAACTTCTTCCCTTTTTAGTGACTTAAATGTGTACAGGATGTCCCCTCTAAAAACCAATTATTGTGACTACTTTGGCTTTGCCTGAGGTATGGCTGGAACCTTCTCAGTGGACCGTGAGATCTTGCCCCATCACCCTGGATCAGATTTTGTTGCTCTATATGCAGCTGCCCTCTAAATGTCAGGTCATCACTGATTGAGAGGATACTTGATAAACTGTCACTGAATGGGGAAGGCTCCCTGATGTAATGCCTGAAAAACTAGCATATTGGTCCTTACACTGGGGCTTCTGTAAACATGGCAGAATAGAGTGTGGTCCCAGGAATGGTCTCTATACCCTTGGGGCAAGCATGTGCCAAAGTCAGTATTCTGCAAGACTTTGTGAGTATCCCAGCCAAGGTGTGAATCAAGACTGTGGCTGTAGAACCCATACTGTGAATAGCTGTGCTGCAAAACCCTGATTTTCTGGTCCAGTTTTGCAAACTTCTGTTTAAACTAAGCTAGACATTGAAGAGGGATCACTGTGCAGCTCTCTGACTCTTCTGGCTAAAGGGAAGCAGCAGCAGAGAGGTCTGCATCTACGTGTGCCTCTCAGATACAGAGTTATCCTGGATAGAACATGCTCCTTCCTGGGAAAGGACAGTCAAAGCTCGGTTTCCTCCAGAAGACAAACCAATGTAGGAAAAGGCTTCCAAAGCAGATGCTGAATTACAATGAAGACTTAATTTGAACAGATACCAACATCATCTTGCTAGCATGCATGCAACATTAGCACCACATTCAGCCGTTAGGTCTGCAGCATCACATCGGTAGCTGCTTCTGCTCTGCATCTGCAGGTGTGGAGGCCGTACATGGTAGGTGAGCTGGTGCAGGTGAACATGGCCCTCATCTGTGTTCTGCTTCCACTGGCCTCTGAGGCAAGGGGCGTGTGGCCAGGGAGAGGTGGGAGGACAGAGGTCCCAGGCTCCCCTCTAGAAGGGCTTCCCTCTTTCTCTTTTGGCCAGCTGGCCTGTCTAACTTTCATTTTGTGGTTCCCAGGGGATTCAGCCCAAGATGGTGATGGAGTACTGGACGGGGTGGTTCGACTTGTGGGGAGGCCCACACAATATCTTGGATTCTTCTGGTGAGTGCTTTGCAGTGCCCACATCTAGCAAGTATGTTGACCTAAGAAGTAAGAATTCTAAGTTTCAAATAACTTGCCAATTGATGTAATCAACTGTAGGGTGCAAGGCCGCTGGGATTATATGTGTGTAATAGTCAGCTCTTGATATTCCAGAGTCATGGGTCTTGACATCTGAAGTGAATGTAGGACTTTTCACATTGCTTTATTTTTATTTTTTATTGGAACACAGTTGATTGTACACACCTGTGGGGTACAGCATTGAATATCAATCCCTATGTGCAATGTCTGGTGTTCAAATCAGGATAATTAGTATATTCAACATTATACAATTAATCACTTTTTATGGCCCTTTACCAATTCCTTCCTAACCACCCCCTGCCCCCTTTCCCACCTCTGGTGACCTCAGTTATGTTCTCTTCATTTGAAAGTTCAACATATTCTTGCTTATTTATTTATTTTTAGTTACCACTTATAAGTAAGGACATGTGGTATTTTTCTTCCTGTGCCTGGCTTATTTTACTTAAGATAATTTTCTTAAGTTCATCCGTATTGCTGCAAATGACAGTATTTCATTCTTTTTTATGGTAGACTAATATTCCATTGTGTATATATATCACATTTTCCTTATCCAGTCATCTGACAATGGACATTTAGGTTGATTTGAAACTTGGCTATTGTAAATAGAGCTGCAATAAACATGGGAGTGCAGGTATCCCTTCAACATGATGATTGCCATTCCATTGGAATATACCCAGCAGTGGAATTGCCAGGTCATATGTCAGTTCTATCTGTAGTTGTTTTGAGGAAGTTCCATACGAATTTCCATAATGACTGCACTAGTTTATACACTAACAGTGTAGGAGGGTTCCCCTTTCTCCACGTCCTCGCCAGCATTTGTTATTCTCTGTCTTTTTGATACTAGCCAGTCTAACTGGGGTGAGATTGTATCTCAGTGTGGCTTTTATTTGCATTTCCATGATGCTGAGTGATGTTGAGCATTTTTTCATGTGTCTGTTGGCCATTTGTGTGTCTTCTTTTGTGAAACGCCTATTCAGCGCCTTTGCCCATTTTTTAATCAAGTTGTATGTATTTTTTTTTACTGTTAAGTTGTTTGAGTTCCTTGTATATTCCGGATATTAATCCTTTGTTGGATGTATAGTTTGCAAATACGTTCTCCCACTCTTTAGATTGTCTTTTCACTCTGTTAATTGTTTCCTTTGCTGCAGAAGGTTTATGGTTTGATATAATATGATTTGTTTATTTTTCCTTTTGTTGCCTGTACTTTTGTGGTCATATTCATAAAGTCTTTGCCCAGTTCTACTTCCTGTACTGTTTCCCCTATGTTTTCTTTTAGGAGTTTTATAGTTTCAAGACGTATGTTTAAGTCTTCAGTCCATTTTGAATTGATTTTGGTATATGGTGAGAGGTACAAGTCTAGTTTCATTTGTCTTCTTGTGGATGTCCACTTTTCCTGGCACCATTTATTGAAGAGGCTGTCTTTTCCCCAGTGTATGTTCTTGGTGCCTTTGTCGAAGATCAGTTGGCTGTAAGTATGTGGGTTGATTTCCGGGTTCTCTGTTATATTCCATTGATCTGTGTGTCTGTTTTTAGCCAGTACCATACTGTTTCGGTTACTATAGCTTTGTAGTATAATTTGAAGTCAGGTAGTAGTATGCCTCTGGGTTTGTTTATTTATTTATTTTGCTCAGGATTGCTTTAGCTCTTCAGAGTCTTTTGTTGTTTCATATGAATGTAAGGATCGTTCTTTCTATTTCTGTGAAGAATGTCATTGGTATTTTGATGGGGATTGTGTTCAATCTGTAGACCACGTTGAGTAGTATGTACATTTTCACAATGTTAATTCTTCTAAACCAAGAGCATGGAATGTCTTTCCATATTTTTGTGTCCTCTTTAATTTCTTTCAACAATAATTTGTTGTTCTCATTGTAGAGATCTTTCACCTCCATGGTTAAATTGATTCCTAGGTATTTTATTTAGGGGGTGACTCTTGTAAATGGGCTAGCTTTCTTGATTTCTTTTCCTGCTAGTTTGTTGTTGGAATATAAAAATGCAACTGATTTTTGCATATTAATTTTGTGTCCTGCAACTTTACTGAAATTCTTTGTCAACTCTAAGAGTATTTATTTATTTATTTATTTATTTATTTATTTATTTATTTATTTATTTATTTATTTATTTGTCAAGTCTTTAGGCTTTTCCATATATAGGATCATGCCATCTGCAAACAGGAATGGTTTGACTTTATCTTTTCCAATCTGGATGCCCTTTATTTCTTTTTCTTGCCTGATTGTTCTGGCTAGTACTTCCAATACTATGTTAAATAGGAGTGGTGAGAGTGGGCACTCTTGCCTTATTCTTGTTCTTAAGGGAAAAGCTTTCAACTTTTCCCTATTCAGGAGATACTGGTGGTGGGTTTGCTGTATATGGCTTTTATTGTGTTCAGATACTTTCCTTCTATATTTAATTTGCTGAGAGTCTATCATGAAGGGATGTTGAATTTTGTCAAATACTTTTTCTTCATCTATTGAAATAATCCTATGGGTTTTGTCCTTGATTTTGCTGATGTGGTATATCACGTTTATTGTCTTGCGTATGTTGAACCATCCTTGCATTTCTGGGATGAATCCCACTTCCTAATGGTGTATAATTTTTTTGATGTTTTGCTGTATTCTATTTACTAATATTTTATTGAGGATTTTTGCATCAATGTTCATCAAAGATATTTGTCTATATTTTTCTTTTTTTTGCTGTGTTTTTATGATTTTGGTATCAGGGTAATGCTGGCCACATAGAATGATTTTGGGAGAATGGCCTCGCTTTCAATTTTTTGGAATAGCTTGAAGAGAATTGGTTTTAATTCTTCTTTAAAGGTTTGGTAGAATTCAACAGTAAAGCTATCTGGTCCTGGGCTTTTCTTTGTTGGGAGATTGCTGATTACTGCTTCAGTCTCATTGCTTGATATTGGTCTGTTCAGGTTTTTTATGTCTTTTTGGTTTAGTCTTGATAGTTTGTATGTGTTGAGAAATTTATCCATTTCCTCCAGGTTTTCAAATTTGTTGGCATATAATCATTTGTTGTTTATAATCATCTCTAATGATTCTTCATATTTCTGTATCAGTTGTAATGTCTCCTTTTTCATTTCTAATTTTTGTTATTTGAATCTTCTTTTTTTAGTTAGCCTAGCTAATGGTTTGTCTGTTTTGTTTATCTTCTCAAAAAAACAACTTTTTGTTTCATCGATCTTTTGTATCATTTCTTGGGCTTCTATATCATTCGGTTCTGCTCTCATTTTAATTATTTCTTCCCATCTACTGACTTTAGGATTATATTTTTCTTGTTTTTCTAGTTCTTTTAGGTGCAGGGTGAAGTTGTTTACTTGTAATCTTTCTGTTCTTTTGATGTAAGTGTTTATTGCGATAAACTTCCCTCTTTGTACTGCTTTTGCAGTATCCTACAGGTTTGGTATGATGCATCTTTATTTTTGTTAGTTTTGAGGAATTTTTTGATTTCATGTTTAATTTCTTCTTGGACCCATATGTCATTCAAGAGCATGTTGTTAAATTTCCATGTGTTTCTATAGTTTCCAGAGTTTTGCTTGTTATTCCTTTCTCATTTTAATCTGTCGTGGTCTGAAAAGATCCTTGCAATAATTTGAGTTTTTAAAAATTTGTTGAGACTTGATTTGTGACCTAACATGTTGTCTGTCGTAGAGAATGTTCCATGTGCTGATGAGAAGAATGAATATTCTGTGGTTATTGGATGAAATGTTCTGTAGATATCTGCCAAGTCCAATTGGTCTAATATGTGGTTTAAATCCTGTGTTTCTCTGTTGATTTTTTGCTTAGTTGATATGTCCAATGTTGAGACAGGGGTGTTTAGGTCTTATTATCACATTTGGATCTATCTCTTTCTTCAGGTCTAATATTGTTTTCTTTATATATCTGGGTACTCTGATGTTGGGTACATATATATTTATGATTGTTATGGTTTATTGCTAGAAAGATCCATTTATGATTGTAAAGTGGCTTTGTCTCTTTTTATGGTTTTTGTCTTAAAGTCTGTTTTACCTGATACAAGAATAGCTACTCCTGCTTGTTTTTGGCTTCCATTTGGGTGGTATATCTTTTTCCATCCTTTCACTCTTACTCTGTGTGTGTCTTTAAAGGTGAGGAGAGTCTCTTGAAGAGATTCCTTGCTTAGGTTGGTGACACTACATTGGTTTGTCCAGTACACGGGCAAGCTCTCAAGTTCTTGGGGCAAGCGCCTTGGTCCCGTCACTCTTTGGCTGTGGTGAGTGACCATGGGAAGGCCTATTGGCATCCTGCTTAGCTCCGCATGACCCTGATGGGTGCACTGTGTTATACTGGTGCTCCTTGGGTTGAATGAGTGACCCCATGTGGGTTTTCTCTTTCCTCTTTCCTACAGGCAGAGGTTCCTCTTGGGACCTTGCTTCCCCCTGTTGGGGATGGGTTGGTGGTAATTGGGAATTTTCTTCCTTACTCTATTTGGGTATCCTGGGCTTCTGTACTCTTGGGGGGTTCTGCGTGTGTCTGTGGCCAGATAAAGAAAGTCCTGTGGGCTGCACACATGCCTCCCACCTCCAGGTATGTTACTGCATATGGCAGCATAATCCCCCCTGTGTGTTGGGCCACTGTGTCATGGGTCTGTGCTTGCTCACCTCTTTCTCCATGCTCCACTGGTGACTCTACTTCTGTCTATGCCAACAAGTGGCCAGTGAACCACCTGTAAGTTGGTGGTGGCTGCTGGTGTGACAGTGAGTCAGCTTTGTGGCAGCAGTTGCTGTGGACCACTCACTCAGCACCGGTGTCTGTGGCAGTAGCAGGGAGTGCTGCTGCTGGCAAGGTGACCACATGCACTGGTGTTGTCAGTTGTGGCTTGCTGGCAGGCAGGGCTACTTCCCTGGGGCTGGTGAACCACGTTGCTTTTTTTTTTTTTTTTTTTTTAACTAGAAAAGAAACGCATGCATATTGCAAACACCCAGGAAATGCAGAAAAAGTATAAAGAGGAGGTAGAAGTCCCAGAGCCCAGAGAAGGCATTTTGACTGGCACAGTGCAGGCAGGTCTCTGTGCAGCTCTGTGTACAGCCCTGTGCACACACAGGTAGAGGATGGACAAACACGGTTGAGTTCTGCTATTTGTCACCTGCTTATGACACTAATGACACACACAGCTTTCTATGCTACTAAATGTGGATTTATGGCACCATTTTTAAGAATACAAAAAACCCCACTGTTTTGATGATGAAACCACCATTTACTGACCCAGTCTCTTTACTGAATCCTAGGTTGCTTCCAGTGGTTGTGGCAATTGAACGCCGTGCCAGTGAGCATCCGTGAACATCTGGTCTTGCACACCTAGTGCATTATTTCACTGTGATAAGCAACAGAATCGCTGTTATCAAGGCAATTCTGATGTGTATATGAGTTTTTACGAAACTCCCCTCCAGAAAGATTGTAGCAATTTTTACTCACTGTTATTACATGAGAGTACCCATTTTCCCACAGGCTCTTCAACACTAAGTATTAAAATAATTTTTAATATTTGCCTATTTAATATGCCTACTTAATAGGTCATTGTTTAGTTTATTTTTCTTTGGTTCATATTAGTACAATATGTATTCATTAACCATTTGTTTTTCTCCTTTGATATGATCTTTCATTTCATGTGTTAGTCTCCTGACAAAGGTAGGGATGGGGGAGGTGGTCAGACTTACAGCTCCAGCGATGAGCCCCATCTTCCTGCACTTCACCCAGCGAGGGGAGCAGTTGTGAAGCTCGCTGGCTGGAAGGTGGAGGCGGCCGTGCTGCAGGCGGTCTGTGTCGGGGTCAGGGGAGGCTTGACCGGAGGGCCCAAGCTTGGGGCCATGGTTCCCACCCACATCTCTTCCTCCTCCCCTAATCTTCTGTGATTGGGGTTTCGGTGAAAGCTGAAGGTCGGAATGACGCTGACACTGACCTTGAGGAGGGGATGGGGAAGGTGAGCTGCCTTAGGGACTCAGGGCTGTCTCAGACCGTAGCGCACTCAGCACCTCTCTCCCGCCTCCTGCAGAGGTTTTGGAAACAGTGGCCGCCATTGTTGATGCCGGCTCCTCTATCAACCTGTACATGTTCCACGGAGGCACCAATTTTGGCTTCATAAGTGGAGCCATGCATTTCCAGGAATATGCGTCTGATGTCACCAGCTATGGCAAGTACTCCTTGGCACTGCCCCTCTCTAGTCACCAGCATTTGCACCACCAGTGCTTTCTACAGAGAGTCCTCTTGGGATAACTTCTGGCACCTTTAGTGTATTTGGCTATGACGTGCCTGGGAAGGAGGGGCTTTTGTCTGGGTTGTCACAGTGGGACACTCAGGCCGGCTGCTCTGCTGAGAGGCCTCTTTGGAAGCCTTGGGCTACAGGATGTGAGGGAGGCACACCTTGGGTGACAGGGAGGGACCAGCCCTGAGGTGGTGTGACTCTGATGGTGTGACTCTGAGCCCCCTTTAGAGTGAGAGTCCCTGGAAAGTAGAAATTTAGGCTCATGCTGTGATCACGGGCAGTCTTTGTGGTATGTTACAGTATTCATAGTATTTTGAGTGAACAGCTTACACCAAAAGTGTTCTGCCTCCAGGTGGCTGGGGTGAGGACCCTGTGCCCCACCCCAGTTGTCCCTTTTCTGTTTGCTGCTGTTTGCGCTGTCCTGGGGACAGGAATGGCCGTGACAGGGCCCGGGTGTCTTGCAGACTATGACGCTGTGCTGACGGAGGCGGGAGATTACACAGCCAAGTACGGCAAGCTCCGAGACTTGTTTGGCTCCATCTCAGGTGCGCGGTGGGCAGCAGGCTTGAGAATGACCGCAGGTCCTTGCGTCTGCTCCAAGACCCTAAGGAGCTATTTCCTCACTGTCCCACCCGTCCCAGCTGACCTGCATGCAAGAATGTCCTGGACATGCAGAGGGCAGAAAGGTTTAGAGAGTACCTATTTCCATTCTAGCTTGTGTCTCACCAGCCCCACCTTTGTATTGTATAGGGGTTCGGGCTCCTTATCTCCTAGGGAGCATGTGAGGGATCCCCCTCCCCCAGGCCCTGCCTTCTAGCATAGGCTAGGCCTGTGCTGGCGATGGGCCTGCTGTTCCTATTGGTGCTGGGGTAAAGGAGCACCTTGCACCCATGAGTAGGAGCCAGGGTGGGGGCTGGAGGATGTGGTGACAATTTGGGTCCTTTGGGATGGCCCTGTGTCCATCTGCATTGCAGGTACCCCTCTGCCTCCTCTCCCTGCCCTTCTTCCCAAGGCGTCGTATGAGCCAGTGACACCATCTTTCTACCTGTCACTGTGGGATGCCCTCCAGTACCTGGGGGAGGTAAGTGCTGTGTGCAGCCACTGAAAAGCCTCCCGAAAGGGGGATAGCCCACTCTTGATGGCTGTGAGGTCCATCCTACATTTAGCTCCGAGAGTGAAGAGAATGAACTCATGCTAGAGCGTGCAATGGGAAGGACAGAGGAACTGGAAAAGCAGGTGGCCCGGCCAACCTTGTGTTTCTGCAGCCCAGGGGCTGGGTGTCTTTCTGTGGGGCAGAGAGGGGGTGGAGGCAGAGGAATGGGCTTTATACTTGCCCTGTGAAGAGGGGCACCTCCTGCAGCTGATTCAGAGGGAGGCTCTGATGCAAAAACAACAGTGGCTTCAAGAGTGGGCAGTCTGCAGGGCTGCAGGGCTCCATTCTGCTATTACATATCTCTTTTGCCTGTCCCCTCATCTCTGTGACCCTGGAGAGCCACAAGTGTAGAGGGGTGAGAAGTCAAAGTGGAAAAAGCAGGCTGAGCTTGCCCTGCCTCTGCCCCCAGTGTGCAGCCTCCAGGGAGGCCTGGCTGCCTCTACACTCGCCCGGGGCTCAGGAGGAGGCGCTGTCTCTGCTCCTCGGCCGGCACCTGCACCTGCGCCTCCACGTCTCTTCTTCTCTTCTGTGTGCAGCCAATCGAGTCTGAAAAGCCAGTCAACATGGAGAACCTGCCAGTAAACAATGGGAATGGGCAGTCCTTTGGGTACGTCCTGTATGAGACCACGATCACTTCATCTGGCATCCTCAGAGGTCACGTGCGTGATCAGGGGCAGGTAGGAGTGTGGCTTCTCAATTCAGTGACCAGCGCCACAATGTACCTCTGACTCTCCCTCACAATCAGCTGTGACTAGTGCACACAAATGGGGTCCCTTTCGGCTGTGACCGGTGGTGCCCGTTTGCGCTCTGTGTCTGCTAACCCCATCCTCAGCATGCGCGTACAGCACTGCCTCTTCCTTTGCTTGGTGTTGGTCTCTCCTGACCTCCCTCCTGCTGACCATGGTGCTTTCTGTCTGCTCCTTGGCAGGTGTTTCTGAACACAGTATCCATAGGATTCCTGGACTACAAGACGACAACAGTTACTCTCCCCTTGATCCAGGTTTGTACTCCCAGGGAGCTGGGTGCTGGCTAGCCCCAGCTGCTTCCAGGAAGTTTGGTGGGAGTCAAGAGGAAGACCTGGAAAAGAGGAGGCTCCTTAGCCACGTGCTGCAGATGGAGAGGGGCGAGCATGGCCTTCTGGCTGGCCGGGACTCTCACTCCCACCTGTAGAGCATAGGGAAGAACTGGGGTCCGCAAATACTCCCGAGGTGCAGCTGGGACCTTGCGGCTGGGCCGTCAGGCAGTCATCATCAGCCACTCTGTTCCTGGCAGGGTAAAGGTGTGCTGAGGATCTTGGTGGAGAATTGTGGGCGAGTCAACTACGGGCATAATATTGATGATCAGCGCAAAGGTGGGTCATAGCACATGCTGACAGAAGAGCTGCCAGTGCTCAGCACTCTCGTGACTATCCCTTTTCCATACCAGCACACCAACCATGTAGGCCACTGAGCAAGGTGGGCCGTGGAGGCACGGTGCAGGGGGTGGAGGCTGGGGAGACCTACGTGTGAGGGCTGGGCTGAGTTGGCCATTGAAACCTGGCTGGGTTCTGACCTCCTCCTTTAGAGCTCCCTGCGTGTATTGTCCACGTGCTCACGATGGACGCACGTGAGCACTGATGCTGGCCTCTCCATGGCTCCCTGGGCTGCAGTCTGCTGTAGGAGGGGCTGTTTGGAGGGCGGGGGCAGTGTGTGAGGGGCGAGGAATGGGATTTCTAGGAATCCAAAGGTGTCGGACCCCTGTCTTTTTGGGTTTTCACACTGATTTCTTTTTTCTTGATCCATCTCAGGAAACCCTCAAGTTATCTTGTCACTTTATTTTTCCTGGCCTTCTAGATCTTTTATGGTTTAATTTAGCCCTTGTTTTTGTTAAATCTGTCTCGATGTAGGTGGTTTCAAGTAAGTTATATAAAAAGAACTCAGACAAAATAAATCCTACTGTGATGAGCAAGACTGGTGACCTCCCAGTTCTCCACGGTGTTTGTGTTTGTAATCGTAGAAACTGCGTGTGTCCTCTGTGGTCAGCATTTCGGCAGAGCCGTCTGCTGACCTGCCTGGGGAGCCACGTGCCAGACACGGGCTTCCTCGCCACAGGCCTTAGAGTAGCTTCCAGCACTCTCCAGGCTGGCCTCCCCAGTGTTCTTCTCTGGGTCTCAGCGCCTCTTCTGGGAGCCCCTCTCTGAGCCCATCTTCCTCCTCTGCTCTCCTGGGTTGGAAGGAGCTGCTGGCCTGACCCTTGCTCCCAGTGCCTGCTTTCCCAGGCCCCTCGCTGTGGAGTGCGATCCTCGGATCACAGATCAGTGTCTCAGAATTGCAGAGCTCCCCTCCAGAATGTGTGTTCCCCCAGCCCCCCACACTGTCCATTTAAGTCTGCAGGCTCCACGACTCCTGTCGGCACATTCCAGCTTCTCCAAATCCCCATACTAGCAACTCAGCAGCACCAGGATTGAGAGGATGGTAGGAGCCCCCAGACCAGCAGAGTGTCCCAGTCCCCAGGCACACAGCTCCCCAGCGCTGGACGCCCAAGTGATGCTGCCATCTGCTCACACACGCTTTCATACATGTCTTCAGTCCTCGGTCATGTAGATTATTTCTGGCTGAGTTTAATAGATCTGTTTAGTTTATGATCCCACTGAAACTGACCTCAAAGCTAGGCCAGAGCCCTGTGAGACTCTGCCATCTGCAGCTTCCTCTGGAGAGAAGCCAGGTCTGTTCTCACCCTGAGACATCTCAGCTTGGTCTCTGTCTCCCATGTGTCTTCCTTCCAAGGCTGATCTAGAGCCTGGTAAATTAAGGTTTTACCTTCTCACCCCTGAGATTTCTAGGGAGGTTTTCTTCCAGGTGAAGGGCTGCTTAGGTAGTGTATATCTTGGGAGAAATTCTCACCAGAACTTTCCAGGAACTCTCCATGCTTGGCCTGGCTACAGCCAGGTCAGCCGACCCCCACCTTTGGCCTTGCTCACGTTTCCTCGCCGCCTTCCCACAGGTTTGATTGGAAATCTCTCTCTGAATGATTCTCCCTTGAAAAAATTCAGAATCTACAGCCTGGATATGAAAAAGAGCTTCTTTCAGAGGTGGGTCCCTGCCCGTGCCAGCATGGCTCATAGATAGCGTGCAGCCAGAGCCAGTGGCCCCAGGTGGTGCCCAGCCTCGCCCAGCCCTGCTGATGCATCAGCAGACCAGATGCCAGAGCTCCTGGCCGAGGGGCGGCACCAGCACCAGACCCTGCCTTTGCAGACACACCCCTCCAGTCCTGCCACCACTGCCCCCAGTACTGCCACCACTGCCGTTACCCCCACTGATTGCCAGGAAGAGGGAACTATCCCACTTTCTAGCTGTTTATTGGGAACCTCCACTGTCCCAGCTTGCTGGCATTCCTGCACCCTGGTTAAGATGAGGGGAACTTAGAGGCCTTGGGTGGGGAGGGAACATGCCTCAGAAATTAGATGCAGGATTGGAACCAGACCTGAGAAAGTGCCTCTGTCCCTGTCCTCCCTCTAGGTTTGGCATAGACAAGTGGCATTCTCTCCCAGAGGTACCCACGTTCCCTGCGTTCTTCTTGGGCGGCTTGTCAGTTGGCCCATCCCCTTCTGACACCTTTCTGAAGCTAGAGGTTTGTAGACCCCCTTCCCTGTCAGGTCGTCCCATCTCCCTCCCAGAGAGTCAGAAATGGGCCACAAGCCACTTGTGTTGGCCTGGCTGGAGCCTGTGTAGCTCCCATGCCCAGAGGGTCTCCCTGTCTGTAAGTTGCCCTGGGACCTCCCTGGGGCGGGGGGTAGTGGGCTCAGAGCAGAAGAGCCACCCGAGGGGTGCTTCTCAAGGGCGCAGGTTCCTACATCCACTTTAGGGTTGGGTGTCCTGCCTGGGGGGCTCAGAGCCAGAGGAGACAGGAGGTAGGCCCCCCGCCCACTCACCCCAGGGCTGTCAGAACGCTGGCTCACATGGGTCTCTTGGAGGCTGAGAGCAGAATGCATGCTGCCAGCTGCATCTCTGCCTTCTCGTGTGCCTTTATGTTGGGTGGCTTTCATGGTACAGTAATGCCCTCTCTGTTTGAAGGGCTGGGAGAAGGGAGTTGTGTTTGTCAATGGCCAAAACCTTGGACGCTACTGGGACATTGGACCTCAGGTGACACTCTACCTCCCAGGTGCCTGGTTGGACAAAGGAATCAACCAGGTGGGAACACTTCCAGCCTCCTAATCTGTTCCCCATGACTCCCATACCTGCATTCCCTGGCATCAAATATTGCCCTGGTAGCCTTTGGTCAGGGCAGGGGGCATGGGGGAGAGGTTTCAGCTGGCCTCCTCCTCCTCCTCCTCGTCCTCCCCCTTCTTCTTCTCCATCCTCTTCCAACTCCCTGGTGCTGAAGACTTGGTCTCTGTTGCTTCCCAACCTGCTTCCCAAACCCTGCTCTTCCAGCCCTGCCGCCTGACGCACCTCCTCTGCTGCAGGAAAGACCTCAGCTGCTCCCCTACTGTAGCTCTTCTCTCTCCCGCAGATCATCATTTTCGAGGAGATGATGGCAGGCCCTATGATCCAGTCCACTGAAACCCCCCACCTCGGCAGGAACCACTATATTCACTGAGCAGCTGCCGCCCAGCACCTCTGCTCCCTCCACCCTCCCCTGCAGGAGCGTCTGCTTTGGTAGCAACCTCAGAGAGTTTGTAACCTGGGAGGATGAGGAGAAAGCTGGGGTGGTGCGGAGAGGACCCCTCACACCTAGGTGGCACCTTGGCCTGGCTTTGTTGAAGGTGCCTTGCCCACTTCCTGCTCTTCCAGGAGGGTCTGAGGCACATGTCTGTGGGGGTGGGAGCGTTTAATCAGATTGCCAGGTGATGAACACCTGGGGCCCTTGGAAAGGGTGATGGAACAGGTGAGGCCTCGCCCCTGCACTGGCATGCAGAGCTCGCTGGCCAGTCTGTGGGATGTGGTGTGCTCTGGGGGCATTGTCTGTGGGGGTGGCCACACCCATCATGGCCCCTTTTTGTTCTTGAAACAGCGGGTTTGTCACCATTTGTAGAGGATGGGGAAGGGGGTGCTCACCTGAGTTGACTTCACTCTTTCTCCACAAACCTCTCTGAGCCTTCTCTGGGATTCTGGAAGAAACTCCGTTTGAGAAGCTCATGTGTCCTCTCCTGCTCATTCCACTCTTACTGCATCTGAGAGGAGGGCAAGCCGTGCTTAAGAAAGGCACACACTTGGCCACCTATTTCCCTGAGTTAGCAAGTATTTCCCCTTTGATTCAGGGAGGGCAGCATCAACTGGGGAGGGGTGTGGATCCCAGCAGAAGTAACACCCCATACCCGAGTGTCTGGGGAGGGTGCAGTTCGATGGCATTGGGCAGGTGTCCCCCCAGGAGTGTTGGGCCGCCACAGGGCCCGCAGGCCTGGCCCCCACCTCAGTGCCCTGCCTCTACCCTGTACCCAACTCACAGGAGGAGAGGGGGCCTTCCTTAACAGCTGTCTCCATGTCCCCATTTGAGCCCCTGTTCTGGGGATCAAGTTCATCTGTTGGGCTCAGGCTCACTGTGTTCAATTTCAGTAAAGTGATAAAAGTTGGATCAGAGGTCCCTGGTCTCGCCTGTGCCACTGTGAGCCAGAGGAGAAGGCAGTCTGGGGTCAAGATCACATTCACCCACCTGGCACCCGAGGGTCCAGACACTGACCGTGCCCAGTCAGTGGATGGTCCATGCCCGTGGTTTCTTACAGCCCCTCCTGACCTTGATTCCCCTCGGTGTGTCACTGGATTGGAAGTGCCCCTGGAGGGGAGAGGTCAATACAGATTCATTCTTGTGCTGGCAGGCAGGGGTGAGAACCTGCTGGAGAGACAAGAGCACTACCTATGAGTTAGCTACAGGGGTGAGCTTTTCTTCACAAACTACATCTGGCATCTGCTGCCGAAAACTAATTATCTTCAATAAGAGTCAAATAGCACATGCCTCCCGGTGCTGTGCCTACGCTGGGAGCCTCGTCCTCCCCTCCTCCTTCCTCCTCCTCCTCTCTGTCCTCTTCCAACTTCTTGGTGCTGAAGACATCCTAGTAAAGATGGCTGGGGAACAGTGGGCCGTGGAGTCACAGAGGTTGACAAGCTTGTGTCCTGGGTGTGGGAGAGGAAGGGTCTGCACTGGGGCATTTGTGGTGTGCAGGCACTGGGCCCAAGCACTGAGTCGGTCAAGGGCAGACAGCTGTGGGGGGGAGTGAAGGTCATGCTGTGGCTGGGGAGGAAGATGGGGGCAGAATCCTGTTTTGCCCAAATTCACCAGCTCATCTGGAACTGCCTCGGAATGGCAGTGTCAAGCTAAGATGTGGGTGAGACCAGGGCTCCTGCAGTATGGCTTGAGCCGGAGGGCAGTGTTGCTATGCCCCACTTTACATCAAGCATGCTTCTGCAAAGCTGTATGCAAGTTACATTCTATTAGAAAATGTGAGAGGAGTGGGCCGGCCTGGTGGCGCACTCGGTAGAGTGCGGCGCTTGGGAGCGTGGTGGCGCTCCCGCCCAGGGTTCGGGTCCCATATAGAGACCGGTATGCTCACTGGTTGAGTGCAGTGCGAGCGTGACACCAAGGGTTGCGATCCCGTTGCCAGTCACAAAAAAAGACAAAAAGGAAAAAAAAAAATGTGAGAGGAGGGCCGACCCCGTGGTGCACTCAGGAGAGTGCGGCGTTGGGAGCGCAGCGACGCTCCTGCCGCGGGTTCGGATCCTATATAGGACTGGCCGGTGTGCTCACTGGCTGAGCGCGGTGTGGGTGACACCACACCAAGGGTTGCGATCCCCTTACCAGTCACGAAAAAAGACAAAATAAGGGAATCTTACATCAAACCTTTTTGTAAAGTGAAGAATCCCCTTCAATTACCCTGTATGCAAAGCTGAGCAGGGATGCGTTGGCTATTTCTCAAGGTGAGGTCTTCCTGCAACAACTTCTGGTCCTTCTGGTCTCCACTTAACTGTGCAGGGTCTCTATCAGAGCTCCCCTGGGCAGAGCTTCTTCTCCAGCTCTTCCACATTGGATGGCCTCATCTCATCTCCTTTGGAAGAGCTCTCTTTATACCCCACCCTCTGAACGCTGGGGGTCTCCAGGCCCTTCCTTGGGCCTCCCTTTCCTCTGTCTACACTCACTGCATGCGGACTCACCTGTGAGAAATGTGGCCTTAGCGGCAGCTTCGATGCTGGCACTCTTCTGTGTTGGTTCCATCCAAGCTCCAGGTGCACGGGCAGTGGGCCCCTCCCCATCTCTCTGCAGATGTCTGACAGGTGCCTGAAATGGAACTCCAGTTTCCCCGCATTACCCCTCCTGCGCTGTGTTCCAGATCAGGAAATGGCAATTCTGTTCTTCTGTGTCTCAGACTATTTTGGCTCCTCTCTCTGTATCCCACCTCCAACCCATTAGCAAGTCCTCTTGGCTCTACCCCTTAAACACACCTGGAATTTGACCACTTCTCTCCATCCCAGAGCCTGCTCCTCTACCCAACCTGCCATCATCCTGTGCCTGGATTTCTGCAGAAGCCTCCTCCCTGACTGTCCCTGCCCCCTCTGTTTGTCACCAGCACAGGAAGCAGAGTGGTTCTTCTCAAAGGCCAGTTAGGTCATGTCAGTCCTCTGTGCCAGACCCCCCAGTGCACTCCTGCCTCACTCGGAATACAGGCAGAAGCTTCGCACTGGTTCCTAGGGCCAGCTGTTCCGAGCCTCCCTCGTCCCCCACCGCTCCCCACTTCCCTTCCCTTGCCCAGTCACTTGCAGCCACATCAGCCTTTTTGCTTATGTATAAACAGGCTATGCACTCTCATGTAGGGGAGTTCTCTCTTCTGTGAGCACTCTGACCCAGGGAGCTGTGTGTCCCGAGCATTGCTTCTCTGCTCAAATGCCAGTAATCAGGGAGGCCCTTCTGACCACCCTGTTTAGGGCATCAGCCACTCTCCACTGGTACACCCGACCTCCATGTGGCATTTTTCTCCTGACAACAGATCACATCTGAAATATATACATTCATCTGTTGTCCATCTCCTGTCATTAGAGGGTAAGCTCGCTGCAGACACGGGCTTTGTTTTTTCACTGCTGTGTGCTAGCTCCTAGAATAATGCCTGTTCATAACAGGCACCTAATAAATATTTGTTGGATAGCTAAATTAATAAATGAAAATAAGGCAGGGCTGAAAAGGATTAGGATTGTTAAAAACCATGTTTGACTTTTAATTTTGAAAGCAAATTAAATACAGTTAAATTAAAACAGACCAGATGCAGCTGCCTGGACCCCATCCTCACCCGTCTCTGTTCTCAGAACTCCTAGCCCAGGTCTCACTCCTTTCCAGAGGGGCTTGCCAGTGAGGCAACAGGGGACAGACTGGGCTTGCAGAACGACTGTTGTCCTAGACCCAATTCTGATTTATAACAAACTCATTCCCAACAAAGATGAAGGCCACAGGCCACCAGGGTTACAGTTATAAATAAATATACATGCAGCTAAGAGTGGCTATTAGGTGAGAACAACTGAACTAGCATCTGCCAAAAAAAAGTGTCCCCATTTTATTGTTCATTTTCATCAATTTCCTGAAAATGAGCCCTGGGTTTTGGCTAGAAGGTGGCCTCAGACCAGCCAAGCTGACCTCGGCATTAGGGCTGCATTCCGTGAGTGAGGCAGCGGAGAGCCCAGGAGTAGGTGCACTTATCTGGGGGACGCCCTGTGCTGCTGCCTCCTTCCTCTCCAACTGGATTCCAAGCAGTCGATTTCCAAAGCGACATCCAGACTGTCAGAGGTTGGGGAAGACGTCCTGCACAGTGGCTCAGGGATCTTATCCCATCTGATGGTTTCATGAATACTGGGAAGTTAAATCCACTTCAAAATAGGCAGCCAATGCTCTGTTCTGAATGTTAGGTCTCCGGACTGAGTTCCACCCACTGGCCTACCCAGGAGTGGGTTCTGAATGGCCCTCAGACCTGTCCTGTGAGTTTCAATGGGGTGGGGCTGTGAGCAGTTAAAAAATAAACGCCTCTTCAGTAGTTCAGGCCCTTTCCTCCCCTCCACTTGGGAGGAAAATTGTGCTTCCAACGTTCAGGAGCATGAGTGAGATACCACCAGAGGGCTGTCCTGGTCGAAGCCAGGGACCTTCCAGCGGCTGGGAGGACAGGGAGACGCTTTCCCTGGGTGGAGCTCAGCAGCTCGTGGCTCACTGTTCTTTCTCTGGGGTGGAAAGGGAGCTGCTGGACATGGGGGGGGGGGGCTTTGCATGCCCCCACCTTAGGGAGAAGTGTGACTTTCTTGCCCATTTTGTGTTTAGAATGATTTCCAAAGCAGTGTGTGCTCAGGTCTCCCTTCCTCTCAGTGTCCAACTAACCCCTGCCCCTTTTCCCTAAATCCTGCTGCTAATCCAAAGCCCCCTGGGCAGAATAGAGGTGGGGAATTGCCCTGTCCTCCCTCCTCGTTCCAGGCAGGAGGAGATGGCTGCCATACCCACACTAGCTCCTCCAGCCCTGAGGGCTGTGGTTCTCAGGAGCTCTGGGAAGCAGTCATCTCCCCTCTCCAGTTCAGCCCAGGCAGGGGCCCTGCAGCCCAGAGGGGCGGTGGGGAGGCAGTGTGGACAGTGGGGTCACATGGTTCTTAGTCCATGCCAGTCAGTGGCTGGTACTGGCTCTAGGGCCCACCCTCTTGCCAGTGCTGGAGGCAGAGGAAGGCTTGCACTCTGCCCCAGCCTGAGGTGCAGGGGAGCCTGCTGGCAGGCCCAGGACCCTTAGTGCAGGGCCGGGCGCCTGCTGGGATCAAAGACAGCCTTACACTCTGTAAACATGAGCCAGAGGAAAGCCAGAGAGGTATGTCTGATTTGGGAGCAGCTCTCAGGAGGAGCAGGGGCTGGGGGGTGGGCATCTCAATGCCTGAGGGCTGCTGTCTGGTCTTCAGAATCCCTGCTGGATGTCCTGTGTGGTCGTGCTGGGCCTGGGAACAGGGAGCCAGGGAGGGCCATGGTCCCCTCGACTCTGGGGCCTTCTCACCTCCCTCCCAGCCCCACACCACAGCAGGGCGGGCGTGGGTGCTGCGGCATCTGTGCTTGCAGCCGGTCAGTGCAGCAGGGTTCTCGGGGGGCAGGCTGGGCACCAGCTGTGCTGGAAGCTGGACCCCCCCGGTCCTCTCAGGCCCCAGTCATGTTGGATGGAGAGAGCAACAGGTCTGGGACTTCTGTGCTTAAATTCTCTGTCCATTGTCCTGGCATCAGGCTGGGCTCTCGGAAGCCCCCAGAATAGAAAGGAGAACGAGGGTGGTTCCTTAGGGGTCTGCCTCGGCGGACCATCAGCCGTGGGGAGAGGGCGGAGCAGGGGCAGAGAGGCTCCTGTGAGGGGAGACGAGGAGCGAGTGAGCAGGGAGGGGCGGGAGCTGCAGCACGCTCTGCGGCCACACTTCCACGTGTGCTACGTGCTGCCACCGACAGCCTTGGGGTCGCTGGCCTGCAGTCCTTGTCACAGCCACATGACTGGAGAGTCAGAGGCAAGCACTGGAGGCTAGAACCTGGCAGTGTGACAGCAATAAGCTGCTGTGAGGAGGGTTTGGAAGGGGATGCCTTCTGAAGTGTCAGGTGCACAGTAGGAAGGGGACTTTGGCTATGACTCTTCCACTCTTGCCCATGTTTTCTGTCTTCCCACAATTAAAGACCAAGAGGAGAAGCCTCCGGAGACTTATACTGCATCCAAACTTGGTGTCACCCTGCCCTGTTCATGGCCCACCATGGCCATCCCCGTACCTGCCTCTCGAGGCTCAGATCTCCACCGAGGGGTCAGTGAAGCCCTTCTTCCCCTCATTCACCAGCACTGGCTTCTCTGTCCGTGTGTGCCAGACCAGGATCTGTGTGTCCAGAGACACAAAAAGAAGTGGGGCTGTCCCCAGCCTCACCCTGCCACCTCCCCACTCCCTCCCAAACCTGCAAGTATTCCTCCCACCACCTCCCATTCAACCCTGCTGCATCGAGATTTTCTGTTTTCTTTATTTCTGCTTCCACCCTCATTCTTGTTGTCTGTACATGTGATGTGTTCAAAATATCTGTTGGAAATGGGAAGTCTAGAGCTACAGGAGATAGACAAGCCGCAATATTTCCCAAGTGTGTGCATGTGTGCATGTGTGTGTGAGCCTGTGTGTGCACGTGTGCGTGTGTGTGTGAGCCTGTGTGTGCACGTGTGAGTGTGTGTGTGAGCCTGTGTGTGCACGACACGTGTGCGTGTGTGTGTGAGCATGTGTGTGCATGACGTGTGCGTGTGTGTGTGAGCCTGTGTGTGCACGACACGTGTGTGTGTGTGTGTGTGAGCCTGTGTGTGCACGACACGTGTGCGTGTGTGTGTGAGCCTGTGTGTGCACGACACGTGTGCGTGTGTGTGTGAGCATGTGTGTGCATGCCTGCTCAGCAGGGAGGTCGTGCAGCATGGCTGTCCAGAGGGACGGGTGGCCACCCTTGATTAAGACTCCCCCATGGCTGCCCCTCCCATTTTCCTGCCTGCCCGCCTGCTGTGGGGCCCTTACAGGTGATAAACTGCCTTCCTGGGTGGGCGTTTGAGACAGGCAAGGCTGCTTTGAGGCCTCTGTTTCCACCCCCTTGACCTGTAGGGAGGGACTGCATGGGCTTGGAGACACTTGCACTGTAGCCATCAGATCTGCGGAGGGCCTCACCTTGGTGCAGTTGGCTGCCTTGGGCTCTAGGTCATTGAGGGTGACAAGTTCTCGAAGGAGGCTGCTTTCCTGGTAGCCTCCCTTCACACCACGCAGCTTGAAGTAGGCCTGGCTTCGCTGTAGAATGAGCCGCAGGTTGACGGCAAATCCAGCCATGTCTATTGCAAACGGCCGGTGGGGGTCGAACACTGTCTTCCAGCCGACCACCTTCCCTGCCCCGTTCACCCGTGGGGCCTCGTACCGAAGGCCACCAACGAAGGCAACAGGCCACACGGACACCCTCCTGGTGCTGCGCATCTGTGAGTAGGGGATCCAGAGTCAGGACGCCCAGGACTGCTGATAATCAAGGATGTCCACCCCACAGGAGGTGAAACCTGTCAACTATGCGTGGGCCATCTGAAGCCATCCAGGGCGCCCAGCCCAACCCACCTCCAGGTACTGTCCCACCTGACGGGCACCGCAGAGGAACCAGCCCTAGGCTGTGGGCAAGACCTGACCTCAGGCCAGCTCTTCTTCACCTTCTCAGCATGACCCTGCTGCCTTTCATCAATCTTCCCACTTTAATGACTCCCCCTCCCCCAACTAACATGACCCGTAACCCCAGGGAAGCCCAAACTGTTCCACCAGGTTTCTGGCAGCCATACCGAATGACCCCACTCAAAGCCCTCATTCAGACTGTACTTCTAAGGCCAGGACTATGGTTTGGGGCTCCGAACACACCTGTCTTCCCTTTAACCTGTGGGGGATGCTTCCACCTGCAGGAGGGTTTCCCATCCCTCTCCCTGGTTCTCTGCGTCGGCGCCGACCCCAGCCCGGCAGCCCCCTTCGGGGGTTTCCCAGTGCATATGCATCCATACCCGCATTTCTACTCCCTCCACCAGAGGCCCCGCTGCGCACCTCCTCGAAGAGCTCCAGGCTGTAGGTGTTGTCGTCGTCTGCGAAGTACACCACGCCGGGCTGGCTGGAGTTGCGCGGGAAGGTCTCGCGCAGCCAGCGCAGGGCCAGGTTGCGCTGCATGGTGCCCCGCGGGATGCGTGGGTCGCGGGCGTCGCCGCGCAGCTTGTAGTTGCGGGGCGTCTCCACGTGCAGGTGCGTGTAGTTGAGGCCGGTGTCGCGCAGCAGGTGCGCGGTCAGCGGCGTGCGGCGCGGCGCGTCCTCCACCACCAGCCAGTGCAGGTTGGGCACGTGCAGCAGCGTGTTGGCCATGCGTGTCAGCTCCGCCTTCTGCACCGGGCGGCTGTAGGTGGGCGTCACCACGTGGATGGTGGGCAGTGTGTCGGACCACGGCGGTGGCCGCGTGTACACGTACTCTGTGCGCACCACCTCCACGATGTCGCGGTCAGACATGCAGTACTCTCTGGAGTCTGTGCCCAGCGGTGTGTCGCGCCGGGGGTCACTGCCCTCATCTGTGGAGGTGGGAGACAGGTGGTGTGGGGACCAGAGCACAGGCCTGGCTCTGGCCCCAGATACAGGGGTGAGGCCACCCACCCTGCCAAGACAGCCCTCAGCCCTGCTCCTCTGCAGGAAAGGCGCCAGGCCTGCCTTCTCCACACCACCTGGTAGGGCTGAGGTTGGAATCTGCATCTCTGCAGAACTCAGGGGCTTTTCCTAGTTCTGACTCCCTGGGTGACACAGAAATAACCTCTTCCTTCCATTGACGCACTGTAGCTGTTTGAGTGCAGCTGGCCATATTCCAAGAGTGCACTGAGTTCCTAACGCATTGGTTTTATGTGACAAAGTGCTCCAACCCTCACACCCTAGTGCCCTCCTCCTGTGGCAGAGCTGACCCTGCTGCTGTGCACAGGTCGGGCTAGCAAGGCACAGAGACCCTGTGCACTCTGTGGTGTGGATGCCACCAGCCCGAGAGCAGGGTTCGTGGTGTCGTGGCTGCAGCACACTGTGGACCCTGAATGAGCCTAAGGTTAGCTTGCCCTTTTCACAAACCTCTAGTCAAGTGAGGCCTCTCCCTTCCTGGCCTTCTGTAATTGATTCTTTGGATCTTGGTGCAGAACATAACATTTAACTACTGCATTTTATTGCAGTGGGTTTTGCCCATAATTGTGCAGATACTTTTGAGTCCTAAATCTGTCACTCCCTATTTTAGCCATTCCTCCATTTTGGTATCCACAAAAGGTCAGGGCAGAGACCTGTTCTAGCACCTCACTGGTCCAAGGTCAGTCTCCTAGTCTGCACTTTCTGGACACACTCATTCAGCCATCTGTGACACTAACGGTACCACTGCCCCTGCCTGTCCTAGCGCCCAGCTCACGTGCACCATCTCCACTCCAAGGATACCAAGAGGGACACTGCCTGACACTTGCAGAGCCTGGCCTCTGGTCCAAGCTCACAGGCGTGGGGCTTCCATCACTTCCTGAAGTCAACCTGCTTCAGTTGGGGGCAGCTCTAATGACCAGCTTTTTTCTTACATTCTGGACACTTGCCTCACTGGCGAATCTAGCAGTCCTATGAATAGGCACCGTCAGGGCCATTGTGTTCTTGTGCTCAGTGAGACCCTTCTTTCCATGTACGTCTCTTTGTTTGAAGGACTCAGGCACCAGCGATGGTGTGGCCCTCACTGCTTCACTGTCTCGGGGGGGCGGGGGAGTAATGGTCAGAGGACAGACCTAGAAACCCGAATGCCTGGGCTCAGACCCTGCCCAGTTCTGTCCTTGCTAGCTCTATGTCCTTGAGCAAGTTACTTAGCTCTGGTGCCTTGACTTCAGCAACCGTAAGGTGGACCTGAGAACAGCACGCACTCTCTTGAGTCCCTATGTGGATTAATGAGTCAATACACGTCAAGGGCTCAGAGCACCGCCAGGCACGTTTCTGTCATTTCCTCATGGACAGAAGGACAGTAGCCAGCCCCACTTCTTCATGGCGTTGGGCAATTACAGTGAGGATGACATGGGCAGGTCACAGGCGAGGGCTGGGTGGGGGCTCACCCTTGTGTACAGCCAGCAGAGGCGCGATGGTGCTCTGGTGCCACACGGTGATGAGCAGTGTCCAGGGCAGCACGATGAGGACGATGGCAAGGACGTCCCGTCTCTTCGGCATCTCCAAGGCTGGCTGCACCCACAGCTCCTCATTACCTGAGCAGCGGTAAGGTCGGGAGGGGGGGGCCCCGGGGGCGGCGGCAGCATAGGGGAGAAGAGAACAGGCATGGGCCGGCCGGCCGGGTGTGGGGGGCACAGAGAAGCCCAGGGCCGGCCAGCAGGTCTTACCAGCGCTCACAACCCACCCATTGCGGAAGCAGGTTTGGAGAGGCCGGCCCGTTGGAGTCTGGGAAGGGGTGGCTGTCCAGAAGTGGGGTCAGAAGCCCTGGGAGGTGGACACCTGCAAGAGAGAGCAGAAGAGGATGGCCAGGGATCCGGGCGTGGGGACGGACGCCAGCAAGGGCCCGGCCCTGCTCTGGGATGCACAGCATCAGGGGTTCACGATGGACCCTCAACTGGCCTTCTCCTCGAGGACCTCTTCTGCCTGCCTGACAGAGTGAAATGAGCCCGCATCCTTCCCACGGGCACAGGGACATGGCGTTGGTTATTCATGAGAGTCAGGAGGGTGCAGGGGCTAAAGACATGGACTTCAGAGACACTTGCCTTGGTTTAAGTCCCAACCCTGCCACGCACAACCTGTATGACCGTCGCCACATTATGTCAGCTCTCTGTGCCACTGTTTTCCCACCTGTAACTTGGGGTACCATCAGTACCTACTTCCTGATGTTCTCAGAATTGAATGAGGTAGTGCCCCTAAAGTCCTTAGGATGGCCTCGATGACAGTAAGTGTGCAAGAAATATTTGCTACTGTGCCATCCAAGTGTGTGAGCCCAAGTGGTATTTCTTTTTCATCTGGATAAAGGCCTCCTCTGAGGACAAAGAAGAGGTTGAGGGAGGGCGCTGGGAGGAACCGCTGTGAGTGCCTTCCTTTGCCAGTGTCCATAGGAAATTCTTGTGGGGTCCCTACTCTGTGCAGGATGGAGCGCCAGGGGCTGGGCTTCAGCAAGAAGAGGGGGTCCCTGTGGGAGCTGCCACATCATGGGGAGACAGATCCCAAACATGGTAGTGGCAGGGCCCCAGGAGAGGACTCCCATGAGGACAGTGAGCCCACAGGAGCTTCGTCTAGCTCTGCAGGGGACACCAGACAGCTTGGGGTGAGTTGCCTCCCACGACCAGGAGAGCAGGTGTGGAGACCCTGTGGCCACCCTGGAAGCTGGCGTGTCCTCTGCTCCTCCTCCTCCCTCCTCCCTCTGTGCTGAGCATCCTGCCAGACACAGCTGGGCTCCTTGGGGGTGAGGCGGGGAGGACAGCCCAGGGCAGCCCCGGCCACCCCCTGATGCGCTCACACCCCCAGCCCCGGCACTGTGCGGTGACACTTCCTTGGATGCCAGCTGCCTGCCCAGCGCCAGCTAGCACGTGGCAGAGCTGAGTGTTGTGGAGGAGCAGGACTCCTACATGCCTGGCTTTGGAAGAGGTGCGCTTTCCTGTCCTTGGCAAGTCCTCTCATCAGCCTTGTAGATGAGCCACATTGTCTCTTCCATTCAAGAGCAATGTGGCGTCCTGGGCCGGTCAGTGTCCCCCTGCCCACCCCTCCCCACCAGAGGCCCGCTCTGCCTCCAGGGTCTCCTTCTAGACAGAGGGTGTTCAGGCCACTCTCTCTCCTCAGGGGAATGGAAGGCCCACCAGGGTTACATGTCACAGGCAGCGACAATGATGTGGGCATGTAGAGGGACCAGTCATTCTGAGCTGTGTGTGCCGGTCCCCTACAAAGTCCTCTTCATGTGCCCAGCAAGTGACAGAGCCCAGTCTTGGGTGATGACACACAGTGACCGCATGCCACACTCCCCAGATCAGCCCCTGCTGCTACACCTGCACATTGCCAGTGCTGCACAGTCTCTGCATTGAGGCCTCGTCTGATGAGGGATGTGGAGGCTCGGCCTGGCTGGGGTTTCTGGAATGCCTGGGAAGATTTCCTCGGTGTCCTCAGAGACTCACGAAGGGGCTCTCTCAAACGTCGCTGGGTTGGGTGGGGGTTCTACCTCCAAGACGGAGAATGCCAGGGAAAGACGCCAGGAGAGCCCCGTGCTGAGCAGGCTGTGCTCCTGCTCACTTTACTTCTGGGCAGCCTCTGCATCCACGGTCCCCGCCTCAGCACCCCTCTGCCTCCTGTGTGCCTGCGCAGGCTGTCATGCATAATGGCAAGCTCTCCTCTTACCCTCATGGGGTCCAAAGGCCAGACTCCACTCTCCACACACATGCGCTCCCTCGTGCTCAGCTGCGTTCATTGTGGCCAGACACAGTGAGGCACTTGCCGAGGCCAGCGAGGAGGATGCAGTGGGCCAGAATTAGATCAAGCCCTGTGGCTCTATGCTACCATCAGGGGTGTGGGACAAGAGGGCCCAGGCCCTGAGCCCCCCCAGAACCAGGGCCAGGCATAGGGTGGCAAGAGACACACTCAGGCCCAGAGCTTTCTCTGGCCCAGGGTTTGGAGCAGGAAGGAGGGGCAGGAGGGAAGAGAGGCAGGACTGAGGCATGGTGCCAGGGCCACAGGAGCATTCTGGTCGCATCCAGTCTTTCTGGTCAAAGCATCTATGAGAGGGAAGGGAGGGCAAGTGAGGGAGAAAAGCTCTAAAAATAAACTTAGCAATAAACCCAGTTGTGCATTAATTACTCTGGAAGCCATTACGGCTTGAAAACTCCATAACTTTAATGGAGGCTATTATAAGCATAGTAGCAAAATCGTGGAGCTAATTACCAGGTGGTTATTAAGCAGAACACAGGGAGCCCCCAGCCTTGTAGAAAGCTGAAGGCCAGCAGGGGGCCAGGATGGCGGGCTGGGGCAGGGGGAAAAGGGGGCACCTTGTCCTGACCCGAGGCCACATCCCGGTGGACTGCAAAGATGACCAGCATTGGTGGCCACTCCACTACCTGCTGCCTCTGTCCAGGGCATGAGGGATGGGAGCAGGTGGCCCTGTGTTGCAGGGTGTCTGCTGTGGACCCCAGAGTGGCTTCTGGGCCCTGGTTATGAGGAACCAACACAAAGGCTGGGGGTGGCTCGTGGGTATGAGTGCGTGTGTGGCCCGGCCTGCGTGCTTGTGGCCCAGCCAACACTCACGGTGTATCTCCCTCCACAAGCGCAGCTGTGAGGGTCCTTCCCCTCCTGGGTGTTCTCAGAGCCTCCAGGGGACAGAGACAAAGGCTGTGCTATGGGGAAGGTATGAGATCGTGTGGAGGATGGTCACAGGTTGAGGAGCGGAAGCCATGGGCAGTGGCCTGGGCATGTGCTAGCCCCTCTTCACAGGGGACAGTTGTCACACTGCTTGTCCTCCATGGCCCGCTTTTTGAAGTATGGAGGTTGGGTTGAAATTTTTAGTTCTGCCATTTTAGCAACCTGAGATTCAGAGGGGCCTTGTGAGGATGAAGAAATGCCCACATGAGGAAAATGGGGTTCAGGTGGGCACTCAAGCTCAGGGTCAAGGCAAGAGGGCCAGTGTGACAGCTTCCCATGGACCAATTCCCGATTTAAGGCCTCTAGGCCCGTGGAGATTGGCCATGTCTGGGAAGACCTAGTTACAGGAATTTGTCTACAGGATCCAGGGTGTCATGGGCTGTGAACGAGAACTAGGGGCTGTCGGGACTCAGATGGGCAGGCTCTGATCGTGTAAGGCTAGGGCAGGGGTAGTCAGGCTGGACAGCCCAGGAGTGGCCTGGCCCGAGAAAGCCAGGGCTGTGTGTGAGGCTGGGACCAGGCTGGCCGATTCTGCGGTCACAGAAAGGCTTTCTTCTGAGCCTGCAGGCATTCAAAGCAACGGTGATGCACCAGTCCCTGAAGAGGGGGCTTATTTACTTCCATTCAACAAATATTAATTGAGCATCTGTTTCAAGTAAGCCTCCGTGCTAGATTCTGTGAGAGGAAGATTCCTTGTAGCATCCCCTAGTCCGAGGGGAGGAGAGACTTCACACAGCCCCCTCCCAGGCGGACAGAGACTGCGTGTGCATGTGTGTATGCACGTATGTGCATGCATGTGTGACAGGTCGGTTACAAATGCGCTCAGAAACCATCCACGTCACTCATCTCCAGCAGGATAATAGAAGCCTTTCTACCCAGTAAGAATGGGAAGTGTTGTAATTAGTTGGTTAATCAAAAAAGTCCATTAAAGTGAGGAAGCTCTCAAACGATAGATACGTGCCATGCACCTTTCTGAAGAGCCAGCTGTTCCGTAGGTGATGTCTCCGCACGACGGTGCAGTATGTGACAGTTTTTCACTATCTGAACCACCCACCTCTGGCTGGGGTTGGCTCTTGCACTCTGTGGACACAGGTTTCAGCTGCTGGGAGTCAGCGCCGACCTCATCACGGCGCGCTGCCTGTGATCTCCAGGTTTGATTTTTTTAAAGTGAGTCAAAAACTGAATGACACTTCATGAGCATCTGAGTGCAGAGCCCTTTAGAATGTTTATGACTTTTCCTCACCCATCTTCACCTAATTTGGAGAACTTTCTTCCAGACTCACCTTATGGAGTCAGCCTTTTGCGAGCATTTCACTTAGTTTTCATAGAAGCCACACACTTATTTCAATGCACCATTTCAATAATTTACACAGTATTCTGAGACGGTGACCCCAAGCACGACTGTCGTAAACAGGTTGGAAACAAACATTGCTGTGCCACCCAGCATTATGCTGGCACAGACACAGGCACTGGCACTGGTCAGTGCACTTCACAGACTAAATGGAGAACGTGGGTCAATTTGCTGTGTCAATTGAGGGAAGGCTGGCTAAGAAAGCTTCTGCTATTCGTGTCTGTCCTCTGTCATCCAGGAGTCTGAGTGCCCCAAAGAGAGGGAGGCACAGACTTTCTTCCAGAGATCTGCAGGGGCCCCTAATGGGATCAAGGGATTAGTATTGATTCTGCAGGTACTGCTCAGGAAAAGTCCAATGCCAGAGCTAATCAGCTCCCAGCCCAGTCAATCCACACTTCATTAACCCAGCCCCAGCCATCCAGCCACCAGTGCCACGCCTGTGGGGCCCAGCCCAGTCAATGCTGGAGGGCAGGACACAGGCATCAACTTCTTGCCTTGCACCAACCCCCAGGACACACAGGGGGCTGTTCTGCCCAGTCCTCCTGCTCCTCTTCCTCCTCCCCTACCCCGAATCACTTGCAGGGAAGGGGAGAAGAGAGGAAGGGGTCCTACAGGGTCTTCCACTCTGACTCCCACACTGAACCAGTAGGTTTCTGCTAAAGCCCAGTTCTTTGATCTTCACAATAGTCCTGTGAGGCAGGCAGTGAGATCTCATCCCCATTTCGCATATGAGGACATCAAGGCTTAGAGAATCTGCA